TAAGAGGTTTGATCAATTTGAATTGATCGCTGCCCTCTATTGCGCGTCGTAGACTATGCCATATCGCAAAGAGCGAGTCTTTGAGTCGAAGCTTACCGTGGTGGCGTAGATGGGCACAGCTCGAGCATTAGTCGCCGAGTCAGGAGTGTGTCTAGAGAACGAGTTAGTTGTCGCGATTCCTCTTCTCTATTGCTTGATTGCATTTTCGAGACTTTTTCTGCTTTTACATCTTCGATATATTGCAGAAGAAGCTCAAACCTGAAGCTTTCGCAACAGCTCCTCTGGCCATGGAATTGTACAGTAAGCCGATACTGCGAAGCTGCTGCCCCGCGCTTGTGCCGTGCCAGCAATTGAGTTTAGGAAACAAAAAAACTTACCCCGCGTGGAGTTGGAGAGTCGCAAAGTTCTTGCTGTTGCCCGCCATTGTGATCAACGCTCGATGCTGAAAGTGTTTCAATAAAGAATACGAGATAACAAAGAACTAAAAGGAGTCGACAGAAAATGCGATGGGAGAAAAGAAAAGAAGCGTGAGAAATTTACAGCCTAGAGGGCGGGAATCGGCTCAGAAAGTGCCACCGAGATGTATTTGTATTTATACACAGACAATCTACAGTTCCTCCGGCGTCAAGCATTACACTCCGTGCTAGCAACCTTGGCGGCGCAACCTCGAGTGACCTCTGTCTTACTAAAAAGCCTCTCGCAACTCAAACTAGTAGGGGTCCAGCCGGCGACTAAGCCGTGGCTGTAGAGAGTATTTGCTGCATCGAGCCCTTTTGCTTGACAAAAACAGAAATTGAGCGTTGCGAGAGCTTGAGAGCCTCCACGCCGAGGGTGGGGTCTACGGCCGGTCCCCCCAAGCACGCAATCGTCGTGAGTTCTTAACACACCAAACGGCCTCTTCTCTATGCGTATATCTATACTAGATAGAGGGGTAAACAGCTAGGAGAGAGAAAAGTACTCGTTGATCCTGGTTCCTACGGGGGAAAGGCGCCCCCTCAGCCTTCTTTTGGCGGCCGGTTTTCGCTCTTCGCCCGTCTATCTCCCCCCATCGGATCCATCCACCGCGGCCGTTCCCTGCTGGTATGGCTATGGTTCGCCGAATTTAGCCAGCGTATCAGATTCTTATTTTTCTTGGAGAGCTAACTCGCCTTGTAGCGGCAGATGGCTGCTTCCATGGTCTGACTGTTTGAGACTTTTATTAATGCTGAGAGGCTTCGTTTTCTTATTCAGCCCTTAGGTAAGGAACCTTTCAGCCATGGCACAGGCTCAAATGAAGTAATAGACATTTATAAAACTGCTTGCGTAGAGTTATTGTGTCAAGTGATACTGATCAACCGCACTTGATAGGTAATTAGCCATCGACCAGCCAATGAATCGGGCTTGTCTGGAATTGCATGGAAATAGTCCCGATTGCCTCTTCTAGCGAAATAGGGAAATCCTTGAGAGCGCTGACGGCTCAAGGAGCTCGAGTGGGTGTGACTGGGAATGGGCTCGCCTAGTGCTGTGGAGCGCTGAATACGTGTATTAAGTCCGACAATCCATCCATCCGACTATCGTGAAGGTTAGGTAAGATTAGCTAGTGGGATTTCCTTCTCAACTCTTACCAACTTCTTTCAATGCTCTGAACAAGTAGGTTTCTTATGATTACTTCTACGGTACGGTTAACTGGCTCATGTCTTTTGGCCATATCGCGGGAATGGCAAATGTCTTGATGCATGATAGGCTGTTAATTGAGCAAAACGCTTGCCATAGGAACCAGTTTTAAACCCAACGTTTCTAATAACTATCTGCCCAACTAGCAAATGCCGCCTGCTTACCAAAGACGCCCGTTATCCAGCCCTTATTATGCCTCCAGTCATCATAAGCCATGCTAAACGTAACGCCACGGTGCCATGTAACCCCAGCTCAGCTCTCCCCTAACCGGTAGTCCGACGCTACATGTATCTAGATCTGATGCATGAACCGAAAAGAAGACAAACCCAAAAATGCAACGCTCAGAGCTCCACGTCTCCAGTGCCACGTCCCCTGCCCGGTAGTTTAATCTGCCCGCTGCCGCCCTTGAAGATCTCCTTTGTGGCAAGGATGGCGGAGAACATCCACAGACTGAACTGCACCGCTGCCAAAACCGCAGCACCACGGCCAGCCATGCACACCGGGCCGTTGCAGAAGGCCAGATCGCCAAGGCATATGGCCACGGCGATGAACCCCGAAAAGTAGAATATGCAGTTTGTGGCTTCGACGCCTAGAGATATCCTTGGTCGTATGGCGCGGGAGGCGAAGCGCGGCGTGAGTTCGATGTAAAGGACGGAGGCGAGCGTGAAGATCGGACAGAATAGAAGAAAGTTGATGGACGGCGGCGTGGAGAGATGAGACCCCCTGAGATGCCAATTGACGACTATAAAATTGATTAGTTTGAAAGCAAACAAAAAAAAAATGGTTGGAAGTGCTATGAAAACGCACCGTATGCTGTCAAGCCGATGCTGGCAGCGGCCATGATGCCCTGGAGGGCCCGGACGCAGATGATGAGTGTTCGCGGCTTGACGGGCATGGTGAACATGGCGAAAATATCCTAGCCGAAGAAGCTAAACAGAAGTAAAATATTTATAGAGAGCCTCAGAACCGGCCATAGTCGGCGTGATAGCTTATTATTGGCATTAGGTGGTAGAATAAAGCTTCATGGTCGTACACTAGCGGGGATGTCTAAGACATTTTGAATTACAAGGCCAAGGGAGGTGAAAAGGGCGATTCGATCAAGCAAATTGTACACGCAGCTTTTTGAGTGATACGCGTCTCCAAGAAAAGGAAAAGTACAAGACTACTATAAAATACCTGATACATTGTCGACTCTCTTATAGTGCAGCGATCGTCCATCTCGAGTAACGTAGGATACCGGTCTCAGATATCGTGAGATGAGGCTTATACATGTCTAGCTAGCCATGAGATTATGACCGAGAATGGCATTAGAGCCTCACCTTGATTCGTTTCAAGCGAGAGAAAATGTGTAATCGATGATGCGATGGTTTCATGGTGATACAGGGACAGCTTTGACAGCTTATTTATAACTGGTCTCGTCTTAGCTTTACAACGTGGCACATGGGTCACATCGGCAAAGAAGCTCGAAACGGGCTCAACCTGGGTGGCCTTGTGCGTTGTATGAGACGCATTGAATGCCAGCCCCGTGAAAGTTTGAGTCTTTTTCCTTCTTCGAGATCTCGATGATATTGAATCTTTTAAGCGTGCTGTCTTGGAGGATGGATGGCAGTTGATTGACTGAAATTGGCGCAAGTGTAGGGTAAGTGGCATATATGTGCTCAGGTGGTGCTACCTTGTACTGATAGCAATCTATACAACGTATATATAAAACGGCCGAAAGCATTGGTCTACTACCTCTCTACCTAGCTATCTCTTACTGTACAGGTGCTTAGGTAGGTATGTATGTGTCTATCTGTAGACGTTGTGAGAGATCCCGTCAGCATCAACGTTGTCCTCGGCTTTCAGAATGCGGGATAACGCGGGGAAAAGCGCTACTGTCTATTGCTAGGTGACTAATATGGCTCCAGCATCTAACAGTAAGTGGTAATGAACACGTTTCTAGCCCCTAACCAGCTGTAAAGCCATGGCTTGTGAGGGGACGGATAAGAAACCCTTTTACAGAAGACTGTCCGCGGCGTCTCTCTAAAGGGTCTGGGGTTTCACATGCCGAAACAAGACGCTATGCCGAATAGCAGCGACATGATTGGCCCCAGAGCTGCGGACGTCCCTGGAACCGAGGCCCACCGCCGTGCTTTAGCGGAGGACTGTTAAGCCAAAAGCTGCCTGGCCGCCAAGTTGCTCCCCCAGTTGCCCCGGATTCCGAGGGATTACGAAATAAAAAAGGCATCATTGGACGTAAGATGGAAACAACTGCTGGCAACTACTGGTATAGAAAGCAATTGAACAAAAAACAAGGACGGCAGCAACAGGCGATGATATGGAAAACAACATATCCAGAGACACAAAATAGGATCCGCTTCGCCTGCTGTGGGAACACAAGCGTCGCCACCGAGTGGTTGTTATTCCCCGAAACAGCCGACGTCACTACGGGATCCGGACTTTTGGCCTGGCTGTGCTACGTTGTGGCCCGGACTTTGCGGCGCCGTTTGGCTGGAATAGACGACGATTCAGAAACTTCTCAAGTGAAAGAGTTTGAAGAGAAAAAATTGGTGAGTGCTGAGGCTGATGCGAGCTGTCAAAGGCTCAACTAAACCCGGCATGTTGAACTGCCAATGTGATTTGTAGAAGCATTGGAGTAATACGGAGACGGGGAGTCGGGCACATTAAAGAACCACCTGAGGGAAAAACGTTATATTAAGCCATCAGTACACATGTACCAATACTTAACGTTGATGGGATATACTCGTATAGTTGCGCAAATTGACTTAACGCCATTCATACAATATTAGTTGTCGTATACTCTGTATAGCAGACTCAGATCTCGCATCCATCTTATTTAGTTTCCAGCGGCCAAGACAGACGGACTGCGGAACACCAGCCCGCCGTGAGAACCTTGAACGCCCTCTATCCGCTGTCCACGGAGCTCTAGCCCACTACAAGTCCGCTGGTGGGAACGCCTCAGTGGGCGGCTGGCCGCTATTAGTAGCTGCCGTCGCAGCGCTAATGGTTTCTGTACTTGGCTAGATTTTTTTGGACTGCGCGAGCCACCAACGACCAAAATCTGGGGCTGCCGAGGCCCTCGGCCGGCCATCCTTTTTCAGCAGCCCATGTTTCGTTAAACCTCCACCTTTCTCTCCCAGCCTCAACTCCAGATCTGGATTCCTTCTTTGTATTCCGCTTTCCTAGTTACATTTCCCTCTTTCAGTAATCTCACTTTTCCCCTCCTTTCTTTGGCTTGCACGTCGCCTTTTTCTCTTCACTCAATCTCGATTCTCGTGCACGTCACGAGCGTTGCAGGAACTCGTCTCATCAACACGCGGCCACTTTAACTCACAATCTCCGACACAATGGCTACCAAGGACGTAGAGGCGTACATCAAGAAGCTGTCAACTCCGCCGGCGCCCGGAGCTCTTCACGGCGTTGCCCTCCCCGGCACAGAGCGCCCTGGTCGCACTCCCATTTACCGCCACCACAAGATTGGCGATGGTGCACTTTTGACCACGTTCTACCCCGAGGTTCAATCAGTCCACGACCTGTTCGAAGCCTCTGTCAAGAAGCGCCCCAACAAGCGCTGCCTGGGCACCCGCCATTGGAACGCAGCTACGCAGTCATGGCAGGATCAGTATGAGTGGGAGACGTACGCCGAGGTCGCTGAGCGCCGCAAGAACCTGGGAGCTGGTATCGTCGAAATCCACAAGGCCAACGGTCACAACGCGGATAAGTACGGCGTTGGTCTCTGGTCTCAGAACCGCGCCGAATGGCAAATCACCGGTAAGCTGATCACTGCGCATTGCAAAGCTTCCCAGGCGCAACAATAGACCGAAGAACTAACCAACCTGTCTTATAATAGATCTTGCACTTGCATCACAGTCTCTCTTTGCTGTGTCGCTCTATGAGACTCTCGGCCCAGACGCCTCCGAGTACATCATCAACCACGCCGAACTTGCCTGCGTCGCCTGCAGCCTGCCTCACATCCCTACCCTCCTGAAATTGGCGCCTCGAATCCCTACCCTTAAGCTGATTATCTCTCTCGATGAATTGGAGCAGGGTGAACAAGAGGGCCTGACCAAGAAGTCCGTCTTGAACAAGATTGCTGCTCAGCACGGCATCAAGATCTACTCCTTCAAGGAGGTGGAGGAGATTGGTGCCGCATCGGGCCGCCCCATGCGCCCGGCTGGCTGGGAAGATCTCTGCACAATCAACTACACCTCGGGAACCACTGGCGCGCCCAAGGGCGTTGTCATCACCCATGGCAATGCTGTTTCTGCCGTCTCATCGAGCCGCCTGCAGGGTTCCGTGACACATAAGGATGTCCACCTGTCCTATCTGCCTCTTGCTCACATCTACGGCAGAATGGTTGACCAGGTTGCCCTTTCCGAAGGTGCTAGCATTGGCTTCTTCCGCGGCGACATCCTGGGGCTGGTTGATGACATGAAGATTCTCAAGCCCACAGGTTTCATCTCTGTCCCCCGGTTGTTCAACCGCTTCAACTCGGCGATCCGAACCGCCACCATTGAAGCCGAAGGCGTCAAGGGCGCGCTCTCTCGAACCGTCATCAACACCAAGAAGGCCAACATGCGCCTGCCGCCCGGACAAGCCAGCAACACGCACTTCCTCTACGACCGCATCTGGACTCCTAAGGTCAGGGCTGCTGTGGGTTTGGACAGGGCCCACTCCATGATCAGTGGTAGCGCTCAGCTGGACCCCGACGTTCAAGAGTTCCTTCGCGCCGCCTTTGGCAACAACTTTAACCAGGGATACGGCTTGACCGAGTCATATGCCGTCGGTACCGTCCAGGTGCCCGGAGATTTCGGTCTTGGCAACATTGGACCCCCAACTGGCTGTGTCGAGATCTGCTTGGAGTCTGTACCTGAATTTGAGTATACCGTCGAGGACAAGCCCAGCCCTCGCGGTGAGCTTCTTCTCCGCGGCCCGTGCATCTTCCGCGAGTACTACAAGAACGAAGAAGAGACTAAGAAGGCCCTCGACGCCGATGGTTGGTTCCACACTGGTGATATCGCAGAGATTGATAAGCTGGGTCGTTTCAAGATCATTGACCGCAAGAAGAACGTCCTCAAGCTGTCCCAGGGTGAATACATCTCTCCCGAGCGTATTGAGAACGTCTACCTGGGCAACACCAACCTGATTGCCATGGCCTATGTTCACGGTGATGCCAAGGAGTCTACTCTTGTCGGTGTCTTCGGTATCGATCTGGAGAACTTCCCTCCGTGGGCCAGCAAGATTCTCGGCGAGACTGTCACCGCTGATGACCGTGCCGCCCTCAAGACAGTTGCCAACCACCCCAAGGTTAAGCAGGAGTTCCTCAAGGTCTTGAACAAGATTGCACAGAAGCAAAAGTTCAACAGCTTTGAGCGTGTACGAAATGTCTACCTCGATATCGAGCCTTTTAGCATCGAAAACGAGCTTTTCACACCCACGTAAGTTATAAAACAAAACCATTATATATCAATTAAGAGTGATTTGCTAACTTGACGATAATAGTCTCAAGCTGAAGCGCCCTCAGACTGCAAAGGCCTTCCGTACCCAGATCGACAAGATGTACGAGGAGATTGCTGCCGAGGCCGGCCCTGCTCCTAAGCTGTAAAAATATAGATCGCGCGGGAGGTGTATATGAATAGGCATGACGATGTTGAGCGATATTCTTGTTACGTTTTTATGTTTTGGATAGCTACTAGCTGCTTCAACTCGGTTACCCAGCTACCTGCTGATGTGGTGGCTGTGGATAGAAAGAGGCTGGAGGCATTGTATTGCAGCACGTTGGCGGCATACTTTTATTTATTTTTCTTGGCTATGTATCATGTGTTTGTCGAGAATCAGCGCGAGAGGCTTTATGAATATAAAGTAATAAAAAGAAACTTAATTCAAGAGTCTGGAAGCTCTATAATGTTGAAATCTTGCGTTATGATATGTAGTACTGTTTTGAGGCTAGGAAGGCTTGGGGAGCCTGATGTTAACGCGCATCTATTCACAGCCTTTCCTCTCTTTAGACAGCTAGATCTAGGCAAGTTACAATATGAAAATGACTTCTAGTCGTTTAAGCAGTTTCGTTTTCGATCGAAAGAGCTAGGATAGAAGAGTTATGTCAAACAACGGCATGGCTCTTGTTTCTGTCATATGGTTTTAGGTAAACACTAGTGACAAATAATGCGACTCGAGCGATTCGTCTAGAAGCTTATTTGTCTAGATGTCCTGCGTTTCCGTCTTTGGAGTATCTTGTCACTTTTGAGGTGGAACATATTTCTTTTATGGAACATTTTAAATATAAGAAAGACGGAAATTGCTTATGATAGCAATTAAAATAATATATCGGCATATTCAGATCTTTAAATGATTTTTCATATCTATTGTTAGCATTTTTTCAATGTTACATAACAAAGCTGTCGGGCGCGCCTCTTTTTGTGGATCATGCCAGATCGACGTCACGCTGGATCTCGCATGTCGGTGAATAGCGCATCTTATTTGTCGCAGTTGTATTGGAATACCCCTGGCCAAGGAGACTTTAGTAGAGAAAGGTTAAATCTGTTTAACGAGCATATATTTGCTTTAGAAAAATATGTATGAATATGGATATGTTTATTAGTGTAGGACAACTGTGTTTAACTTATGGCTGGAAGCATTAGCTGAGAGCATTACGCGACAGTACTTGGAGAAGGATAACATGTCGCAAAGGAGCTTTCAGGAGATCTTAAGCTGTATTCTTCAACTCTAGAGCAATTCGATCCGATTAAACATTAATCCCAGCTGAAAGAGGGAAATATATCGCGATTGAACTGTAAGCTTTTGCACCTTATAACATAGGGGATTTTAGGCTTAAAACAATGAATATAGTGTTTTTAACAGAAAATAAACATCTTTTTCAACTTAAAAGAATAATAATACTTCTTTATATTGAAAGTAAGGGTTCTTAAACTTTATGAGCTTTATAATCCTAGCTGAGGCCAATATAACTTTAATTTATTACGTAAACTGGACTCACGTGACATCCCAACCTTTAGCTTCTCCCTAGCCGTGTTCTAAGACCCCCTTCTTACGTATGCCTTGGCTTAAGAAGAAACCTGAGAGCTTTAAACGTGTGGGCACGCGATGGGGTAAGTCTTATATCCCTTTGCACCGCGCCCATAGAGCCCGAGATCCATTCGCCTGCTTGAGATGCCCGCCCGAGCCTCGTGGCGAGCCGGCCCTCTCCATGAGCCTCGTGCTTACCTCTGGCGCCTCCAGGCCCCCGGTCGTTGAGGTTGTCGACTTGACTGAAACGCCGCCACCATCGCCGCCGTCTTTGGGCCATATCGCAAGCGGAAGTCGAAATAGCATTGGTCAGCCTTTGCTTGAGGCACAACGCCAGCAACATGACCGCGTTTCTGCGGGTGAAGAACCGCCGTTCAAAAAGAGACGCGTGGACCTCTCCTGGGCCGAGAAGCAAACAACTGCCTGCCAACAGGTCTCGCCGTATGTCAGCCGAGGCTTGGCGGACCTATCATCATCCGACTATATAATTGATGAGATTGCGATAAGAGTATGGGATATTTAGAATATTTAAGGGTCTTGGAGAGATTTGCTAACTATGTCAACAGGCCGTTTCTATATTTGCCAAGGATCCGGTGTTTATTTCCCGATTGGATGAAAACGACTATGCACTGCCTGCCAACGATGAGTGGACGGCTATAAAAGCCAAAATGATTGTTACAGATTTATCTCGGAAACCTGTAGGTGGAATCAAAGAAGGAGAAAGCTTATATCTATATTTATTTGAGCTAACACTGCTTGCCAGGAATATCAACTTCATCCAGTGACAGAGCCAGCAGCCGCCGAGTATCACTTCGTGCCAGTGGAGGGTCCACCGCCAACGCAGGGCGAAGATGCGCCTGAGGTGCATATGCCAGACGTCCAACAGCTGGAGACGCCCAAAACCGACATACTCGAAAGTACTACACCTGCAATGCACTGGAGCCGCTGGAAGCCGCTTCCCAGATGCGGTCCATCGTCAAACGCATGGTTTGCTCTCGAACAACGACCTTACCAAACAGCATCGGATCGCGACCTCATTGCGAAAGGTGCCAGCTTATACCGTGACCTACAACAAGAGATGAGTGAGCCAATGGTCTACCATGTGGATTTCACTTCTGATGAGATTCGGCAAATCAAGGAGTGCCTTTCGAAATATCTTCCTCCAAATGCCCCTGCTATTCCTGAGAACTTGGCGCGGCTATGCCTTCAGTTTGATGTTCCTTCAATCAATGGCACCACCCTGCCTTATCGAACGGTTAAGGATATTCGGAATTACTGCTCAGATGTACTCGCGAACAAGGCGACACCACCTGATAAAGCTCAAATTCTGACGCTAGATCCAAGCGTTCAGGATCCTCGATCTCAGCAGGAGAGTAGGCGTGCTAGTCGATTGGCAACTTTGCTGCTGGCCCGTGAAACAGAAGGAAACCGTGGGTTTGGGTCGATGCGTCAATATGAGAACTTTCAAAACGAATTCAAAAAGGTCCATGAGGATAGCCTGACTCTGGTTGCAGAATACACAAACTGTGCCGGAGACATTGCGACGACAACCTGGGTTCCGGATTGCAATGTTCTATGCGGCACGACGGTGCACTCTGATAGCCATAATCAACAATATAACAAGCCTGGGAACTTGCTGCTTTGTTCGACCAAGTTGGGTCAGCTGAAGGCGTTTCCCGACCATCGGATTCCGCGACCGCTGGTTGACAAGGGAGAAAATTCCACCGTGGCCATGCGCCAAAGCCAAGATCCGTGGCTCTACTCATCAGTCGTGTGCTCTGATTACGACCATGTTCTTGGCTTGGCATACACTTCCAGCTTCGACAAAACAGTCAAAGTTTGGAAGGTTGATGAGACGGGCAGCAACATGACGGCGTTGGCTACTTGGTATTTTGGGGGCAACGTCAACTTTGTTGCCGCGGCCAAGGACGGCTCTGGACGCGTTGCTGCTGCGGCCGACGTCCCAACGGAGGCTGTTCGAGTATATACCATCAACAGGAACGACATTGCGAATAGCTCCTACGTGTCTTTTTCTTGCACGCGTACCGATGCTGATGACTCTGATAAGTGGGCATATTATCCTGCCACTTTGCAATGGGGCCGCTGCTGGAGGAGCAGGCATCTGCTAGCTGTGGGATACTCTCCTCGGAGCTTTTCTGGAGAAGACCTTGACATCCCAGAAGACAAGCGGAACTCGGGAGAGATCACTCTCTGGGACGCCGCGCTGAACCAACGAGTTACTGTTCTGACAGCGACAACGGCCAACTTTTTCGAGGTGGTTTGGCATCCCACGTTGCCGAGATTCATCGCAGCAACCTCACCCTCTCAGTTGAAAGTTGTACCTGGCGTGCGGACACAGATCCATCTGTTTAGAGAACAAGATGGCGCCTATGCCGAATATCACAACCTTGACTGCTTTGCAGCAGATATAAACGAACTGACATTCATGCCCAACTCCTCAAGTCATGCATATGTCACTGCAGCGTGCACAGATGGTAAAGTGTACGTCTGGGACACTGCTCAAGGAGACAGCCCTGTGCACATACTGCAGCACGGCCGCCCTTTGGACGAGTACTATGAAGACCGAGAGAAGGAAGATACCGGAGTGAAGTTTACGGCTTGGGGGAATAATTTGGATCGATTTTACACAGGCGCCAGCGACGGGACTGTCAAGGTGTGGAATGTGCGTAACAAGCGCAAGCCATACTTGCGAACCCTCCTAGAAGCTCCTGGTCCTATCTCATGCGGCTCTTTTTCTCCTGACCTACGAAAATTAGTCGTTGGAGATGCTACGGGCCGAGTGTTTTTGTTTTCTATTGACAAGGAAGACGAGCCAGAGGCACATTTCATTACGATCCCAGGTGTAGACCGCCAGCTTCGACGCCCTACGCCATTTATACCACACCCCGACCCAGAGCCTCCAGCCCGGAATCCAGCAGGTCCGGAAGGCGTTTACGACGATGAAGATACCCATATTGCTGATTTAGTGAAGCGTACTTTTCTAGACACAAGACAGATTGTGATCAACCCAAATCCTACCATTGGCGCCGTACAAGGGCCAGAATATGCCGCAACAGGTCTCTTCCGCCGAGAGGCGCACCTGAATGAAGATCCAGCAGGCCATTTACTCAGCTACTTTGAAAGAAACCAGAGACAGAGCATCGAAGCCAGCCGCGGTGGGTTCGCCCGCTCGGTACGCAGACTCCGCGACCCTGGAGAAGCAAATGCCGTGATGCAAGGTCGGCACTATACAAACAGGACGCAGGAGCTGGATATAGAAGCCATTTCTGCGGATGATCTTACGGATTTACTTGCTTGCAAGGCGGAGTTGACGATGAGTGAGGTGGATTGCGGGTTTGTATATGAGGAATTGCCGGAGGAGCAAGAAGAAGAGCAAGTAGAGGTGGATATGGATACAGTGCAATGCAATGGGCTGCGAGCGGATAGATTGGGAGATACCATGATATACAGGTGAAGCATATGTAAATTCAAGATTCGTTACGTTAGCAACGTGCCCGCTAGATGGGCTATTAGAACCTATCACACGCAAGATATCCCTTTATCTACTGTCTCAATTGCTGGTGAGAGCGAGGGTGTAATTGTGGAAGATGATACAGTAATGAAATATTGTTTGTAAGGGTCGAGAAACAGCAGACGTGTTCACAAAGCTGGCCTCGATTATTGAAGCAAAAACCGCGCAATATGAACAGTTAAGAAGCCAAAAAAAAAAAAAAAGGAAGATAGAAGAAAAATGCAAAAGAAAAATAACTGCGTCATCCGGAACTCGAATCCGGGCCTCAACTTTTCAGCATGGAAGAGTTGAATCCTAACCCCTAGACCAATGACGCTTTTTATCCTTGTCAGAAGGCCGGCAGTAGACAGCTTATGAAGCTACCAGGGCCTATCGTGACAACTTGTGATGGAAGCCACAGGCACTACTAAATTTATAAAGAGAATTTTTGTTTTGAGGGTGTAGTTTTAAATTCGTTGATGGAAAAAAGAGCTAGCTCATGCATAGCTTACCCAGTAATTCTCAAACTGGAGAACAAGAGGAGGCATACGCAGATAATGTGATAGAAGAGAAAAAAGAAAAAAAGAAACGACACCTGCAGGATTCGAACCTGCGCGTGCGAACACAATGCCTAAGATACCTGTTGATAGCAGGGCATCGCCTTAACCACTCGGCCAAAGTGTCTAACTGTTCATGGAAAGGTCATGTCTTCGATAAGCCTATGAACTGCTCTTCTACGAAGTATGATGGGGATTGATGGATGTCAATAACAACACTCGTGCCTACGATATAACACAATCCTCGCAAATTACAGCGGCACAAGGACTGATAAATCGAAATATCAATTGAGAGAAATAAAAATATCATTGCTGCCCATTCTCGCTTCAACCTTTGTCGTAGCAAAAGTTATCTCCGCTGCATAACCCTTTTTGAGTTCCAATAATCCAAGAATTCAGTTCTACCAATCTAACATCCCATTCAGCCAATTTCAAAGACCGCATAACAAGCAACAAATGAAAGAGAAAGGACATACGCAAGTAAGCAATGAGGAATATGAAGATAGAAAAACAAGGGGGGGGGAAATTGTGAGAGAAAATGCGCAGAAAACGTGCTAGTAACAAAAGGAAAGAAGAAGAGAAAAAAAGAACATATATTCCTTCGTCGTACGCATGCGAACAGAAGAAGAGAGCCGCAATCTGAACTCTTTTGTCTACGCATATCCAAGGTCCTCGCCGCTTCCTCGACGCTCGCCAAACAGATACGCTGCTTCAAGACAGAATCGTCCATGGCCCCTTTCCATCCGTCGCTCGCTACCGTAGCAAATCAAAACTGCGTCGACAATTCCGCTGAGAATGCCTTCCATTGCGCCCATAACCGAATACCCAATGAAACTAGCCATCATGCCGACCACGTATGCGTATGCTGATCCTCGGACACCCACGCCGTCTGGGAGCTGGAATCGCAGCTGCTTCGCTGTAATGACCCAGCCCGCGAAACCAAGGCCCGTGGCCATAATCAGTCGTGTTGCGACCAGAAGCAGCTTGGCCAGCCGGTAAGGCAGTAAGCCGTTCCCCTGGCCTCGTAGGCGTAGAGCCCTGGGTGTCAACGTAGTAGTAGGGATTGCAGCCGATACAAACTCCATCTGATCAAGGCCCCGGGCAGACGTGGCCAAGCCTTGAGAGTGTATGGCCGCAAAAGTGATTGTGAGAGGGTTTGTGAGAGCCACCACAGGCGTTGGAATCCAGAAAGAGGCGACGTTTGTAATTATTGCGCCTATCCTCCTGGGTAGGAAAATCAATGGCGCCCGGATGAGAAGAGACAGCAGGGTTGATTCACAAATGCTGCCAAATATTGTCGTCGTACCGTGACTCAGGGCTGCCAGCACAATCTCCTTTGAGGGGGTAGAAGGTCCCGCGTTGCGGTGAAAGTACCACTGAGAAACAGTCGCAGCAGTCGTCGCTCGATGTATCGCGTTGATGACGGAGAGCGTCCACATATACATGAAGACAAAGCCTGCACCGAGCCACCAGCTAGAGAAGCGGATCACGAATTTGGCCAGACTCTTTGAGAAATACCCGCCCATGAACACCCGAGTAAACATGGCTAGCCATACCCAAGTCCACACAACAATCAATGCCAGGCAGCCAAACCCCACCAGCAGGAGTCCCGGATTTTGAGCCAAAATCTTTGAGGAAAATTGAAGGATTTCAATGGCTTGCTGAATTGCTCTCCGACCCTTGACGACAAGCCAAAGCCACAATATGCACGAGGCTGCAGGGACAGCAGCTGTCCATCTCATGACGCTATCCTGGAAGCTGGCCCCATGTGTCCGCCCCTTGAATGACGATGCAAACGAGAAGACGGCAAAGGAAAACATGATGGCCGGCACAGCGATTAGGATAACAGTAACCAGCGGCCGAACAAAGGACCGCAGCGCCGCCAGCCACACAAATGACACCATTACTGCCACTACGGTATCGACTGCGAGCATGTTGAACGATTTTTGCAGCGTGTTATAGATGGTATCTCCCACAGGGCTGCTTCTTGGTGAGGTGTTTAGCCATACCAGGACAAAAGTGGACATCATGCCAGCGAGACAGACTAAGAATATCCATGCGAAGAAGGGATCATGTCGGAATATTTCTCCTTCGATGAACATGTTTCCCGCCAAAGCTGGGTCAACTTCTGGCGGCTCCGTGTGTCGCGTGCTGGCCATGTCAGTGTCGCTTCTTGCGGACTTTGATATCAGGGGCGTTCGTCCGGAGTGGTCCTTGAACCGCTGGAACGCTGGGGGACTGCTGTCGACCGCCTCTCCAAACAGCGAGTCCGGCGGATCCTCGTCAGGGTCCTCCTGCGATCCAAGACCAACATCAACCATGTTCCCCCTATGATCACCGCCGTGGTCGCTTCCGCCATATCTGCTATCCTCGTTATCGTGATCAACTTCTTCTCCCTCCTCCTCTTCTAACGGCGTGTCCCTTGCAACAGATATTTGGTGTGAGCTCCTAGTCCCATTCCAACTGCTCCTGATGCCTCGGCCAAACCCTTGGGCTCGATACGGGTGGTCGAACTGACTTGAGCTGTCTTCAATCGAGCCTCGGCTATTGGCGTCTGATTCAACGCTGTCGGCCAGTTTGCTAGCAGCCGCTACCCGCCGAGATCTCTGCAGCGCATAAAGGTCAGCCGCTTCCCTATCGCGCTCCTCCTCGTCATCCTCCTCCCGAAACTCGTCCAGCGTGCTGTGAAATAGCGGTGCATCCTGCGCAGCTGTTATGCGAGAACCAAACGCGAGCTGGCCAAACCGCGAACTGCCGCTGCCGCCGGCTCCTGCTCCTCCGCCACCATTCTGATATGGGTTGCCCCTAGAAAGAAACGACCGTTGGCCCCCATTTCCGCGACCAGCGTCTCGGTAGGGCCGAGATGGGCGTGAAGACCAGTCGTTTTGTCGAGATGTATTATCGTTATCTGGCTGGCCAAAGTTCGAAAGCCTCGACTGCGACTGCGCGAGAAACTTTGAGGCATCTGAGAACGCGGCGTTAGCAGCAAGTTGGGGATACGCAGCCTCGCAGGATGCAGTGTCGTCACTCACACTCGGAAAACATGATGCCCCTTCACCTGCCGCCGCCCCCACGATAAGAGGCTGGTCCGGCTGTCACCTCGACGGTTGCTTCGCTGCGGTTATGCTGAGCGGCAGTTTGTTATGTTTCCTCGCGGCAACGGCGTTGTGATGGGATCGGCTCGCAGGCTGGTGGCGATGACGAAAACGCTGGGACAGGCAGCAAAGACTAAGACGGGCGCTCTCCCTTGCATGTAACGGGCAAAGTAGCAGCCCAAGATGAATAAGGAAGACCGAAAATATTACACCGTAAAAGGGATATGAGTAAGATGTATATGCGGCGGTTGTTCAGTCGCCAAGTTGGAGAAACACCAGCAAAAAAAAAAAAAAGATGTGCCTCGTTGTAAAACGAAAAGAGAGAAGCACTGAGAAGGGTCAGGCGACACAAGGCGGATGAGTCGGTTTGGTGACCTCGATAGCCCAAAACTTAGTGAATGGCTAGGGGACGACTGGAGCGTGCCGTGGCCGGTGTAGAGCCTAAACTTTGCTGGCGGTCAGCGCCTCAGCGAGAGCCACAGGTGACTGGGCGGCAGCCCCGTAAGTTTTAGTACCCGCGAGGGAGGTACATACTCGGTGATACAGCCAGGGAGAGGCTCTTGGAGGATCCGCATCCGGGTGCTGCCTGCTGGGATGGCACAGGCTGCAAGTACCGGACGGAGGATCCTCGTGGTACCTGGGACTTGCGCTGAGTGAGCACAAGGGCAGCCAGCGAGCCCGTCAGTTGATCCAGCAGGCAGTGCTGCTGGGCATTACATAATACTTGGGAGCTCGATAAGACACAAACGAGCAGAAGCTGAGAGGTAGAACAGGTCAATAGTAAATGGAAGCATTACCCGAGCCCTAACAGAAGCTTGAGCAGTTGAAGCTGCGGCTTATACAAACGATGGCGCCATCACGGGCCCCGAGCAGCTGCCTAAGGGTTCAATCAATCAAAAAGGCAGCACAGCTTTGACTGCATAATCTTTGACCGCATAGTGCATCCGTCACTGTAGTTGTCTGTACACGTACAATCACCACTTGCAAGATGCGCATATGGCTGCCTATAGCACTCCAGGTATGCAGTACGAGATGCTTCTTCCACAAGGCAGTGCCGGGCCGTGCTACTGTAGGATCGGCCCCTAAGCAAAAACGCTGGGCCGCGGGATTCTTACCGCTAGGCCGGTCACCGTCTCGTCATGATGCCGTTATCGCTCTCTTGCGTCACCGATAACAGCTGCATCCACCGGCGCGGCGCGGCCAGTTTAGGCACCGCAGATGCAGATGCAGATGCCAGACGTCAAGGAAGCTGCCGGCTAATTATGCACGTTTCTGCAGTAGCCGTAAAAACGATCATCATCGGTGAGGCATCCGATCTGCTGCTAGTAGTACCGAGCCAATACTTCTGTCATAGTTTGTCGTAGAAAAAGGAAAGAAATAGACCCTGGCCCCCAAAATCGCATCTCCTCCTTCTCCAGCTTTTCCCTCAACACGCACGGGTCACACCAAAACCAGGCCTGTCAGCTCCTCTCTTCTCGCTGGCCCGTGACAAGCCATCGTCACCTGCCCTTTCTCTTTACAAACCAAGACAGGCCCTTTCAACTTGTTTTTTTTTCCCATCTTTTTCATTCCTGTGTAAAGTGTTCCTACGTGCCGCGTTCTTTTTAATTGTTTCACTACAATACTTTGAAGCCTCCCCTCGTCGATTGCGTCAACGGCTTTGAGAACGGACCTTGTCTTGGCCGTTTCTTCCACCCACGTGCCGTTCGCCGCAGCGATAGCCTCGAACCCACCTTAGTTATACTTCCATTCATTCGACGAGCCGCCACCCCAACAGCTATAGCTCTACCACTTGCGCTTTGAATAATCCCAGGCCGTTCGACTATTTATACAAACCACCTCTTCAGCTCCTCTTCTTCGTCATTTCCCCTCTCGCTACGTCTCCAAATAGCCTTGCGCAAGCTGCGCAGTACCTTGTCCACACCTCCACATGTCCTCCTCAGCGCCTTGGGACTACATCGCCAAGCTGGTCTGCATAGGCGACTCAGGATGCGGCAAATCCAGTCTCACCATCCGCCTCTGCGAAGGCCGCTTCTCCGCGCACCACGACGTCACAATCGGCGTTGAATTCGGCTCGCGCATCGTGCCCGTCGGCCCGCCTCACACGCCCGCCGGCGCCATCGCATTCCCTCCCTCCTCGTCCTCCGCCGCCGACGATGCGCCGCCTTCGCCCGGCGGGCTCCCGGAACCGCCGCGCGACACCAGCAACACCCCCCAGAAGCATATGAAGCTCAGCCTGTGGGACACGGCCGGCCAAGAAACATACAAGTCCGTCACGAGGTCGTATTTCCGTGGCGCAAGCGGCGCGCTGCTCGTCTTTGACCTGTCGCGCAAGGCCACCTTCCAGCACGCCACGGACTGGCTCAACGACCTCCGCCAGATTGCCGAGCCCGACATTGTCATCGTCCTGGTCGGCAACAAGGCCGATCTGACACAGCAAGAGGACAACAAGCGAGAGGTCACCCGGGAAGAGGCGGAAGAGTGGGCCAGGCGTAATGGCATCCTCGAGTACGTCGAGACGAGTGCTAAGAGCGGCGAGAATGTGGAAAAAGCCTTTATGAGAGTCGCCGAGAGGATATACCAGAACATCCAGGCCGGCAAGTATAATCTAAACGACAGGAGATCCGGCGTTAAGGGCCCTAGTGCTGGTGGAAGCCGGCAAGTGAGGTTAACAGCTGACGCCAGCAAATCAGGCGGCGGATGTTGTTAATTCCAGGCATATTCTAAGTTTTCCTTCTGTATAACGCGAATCGTAAAGCGGAACAGCCATGTTGAGCAAATATGAGAAGAATGAAAGGAGGAGGAGAGAGCTAGTAAGCAAACAAGCGAGCAAGCAAGATATGATACCCGATGGGCTTCATCAGTACACGATACTCTGGTCATAAAGGACCCTTGGAAAGCATGGCCAAGCAACTGGAAACATGGCACTGTCTAATAATAGTAGATGCTTCAAAGCACAATTGGCATTCAAGCCTAGAATCACACACACACGCGTCTATCTCTTAACTTACACAAAGAAAGTTGGGAGAGATATATGCCTTGCATTAAATGCGGTTTATAGTATTTTCCGCCAATCTTGATTTGTTCCCTATCATCTTCTTTTATATGACTTGCGAAATTTCCATCCTACCTATCCCGTTGCTCTTTTTTTTTCTTCGTTGATGCGAAAAAAGTTGTCTCCGTCCCGTTCCACGCCTTTTAAATAAAATCTTACACGTAAATTTTTTTCGTTTTTAGAAATGAGTAGTCTTCTCCTCTCCCTCCACTCTACCTTCCACCGCCATGATAAGACAAAAAGAGAAAAGAGCTTTTGACAACCAACATGAAGTAAAATAATAAGTAAATCATGCTCGCCATCAATGCTTGTCAAATGTGCCTAGTTCAAGTCCTAGATAAGAAAAAGGGGGTTTAATCGCTGATGCGCCAGTTGTCAAACCATTTCAGGTACGAATACTGTTGGTTGTTTCCCGTCATACCCCAGCAGATGGGCATAAACAGGATATAAAGCCCGATAATGACGCTGTACAGGACGCCATAGATGACGCCCTGCACGACGGCTGCGCGGTTTCTCATGGTCCAATCGACCAAGAAGCCCAGAGACAGGATGGCAAAATACAGGGCAGGGTAGTAGTGGTGCACGTAGGTTACACGCGCCATGATAACAAAAGGAAGATAGTGCAAGAACCAGCCGATGACGGGATAGATACCGGCGTAGTGGATCTGGTCAATCTCCTTGTTGTCGAGCTCCCTGTAACCACGCTGCCATCGCACAATGTACCAGGCCACAACGAGACCGACGAGGCCGAGAGATACCGTGCTGCCCCAGTAGATGAATGGGTTGCCGAGGAGGAAGTACTTGACAATGTTGTCATCCCAGCCGCACATACGAAGTCCCACGTTGAGGATGGGCCATTGCCACCACTGGGAGGCCAAATCGTCCTGCTTATCGGGATCCGGCACAAGGGCGTTGTTGGATGTCATCATGGCTACGTTGAGATGGATGAAGTCGTGAATAAAGGGCGACTTGTAAACATTAGGGTCACTCTCAGGGACTAGTAAAAGGTTAGCGATTATCGTCACAAGGTCCCCAAACATGAGTTATTACTTACGCTTGTCGTTCCAGTGAGCCTCAACGTTCCAGTGAGTATAAGTGTCACGAGGATTGTTTTGCTTGTCGCAAGTGACTTCAATCTGCTTGAAGCCCCATTGGGGAAGGTTGACATTGCCAGCTCGAAGATAGCAGCCCATTGCAGTGTGCTTGAGACGGAAAGCAGTAGTCAGGGTGCGGATCTTGCTGCGGTCACGAGATGCCGCATCCCGGACGACTTCAATCTGCCAGTGATCCTTCTCATCTCCAACAGTGAGGTTACCGTAGCTGGAAACCTCGCGGTGGGACTTGGAAACGGGAGCGTCAATGTCGTGAGAGTGCAAGTTGCGGCCGGTCTGGGCGTGAATGAGGCGAATGACTGATCCATCGCCGATGAATCGCAGATCACCTTCGGGATCATAGTCGGGCTCGTAGCGGTTGGGGTAGAAGAACCAATCGTTGTTAGCATCCTTGTGGTGGTAGCAGGTGACTTGTTGCTGGCCAGAGCCCTCGGGGTAGGTCTGAACGTGAGAGTGAAGAAGACCACCGCCATAACCCATGTTCTTGATAGTGGCGCGAGATCCAATGGCAATCTCAAGAGGGCTGTTCTTGCCGACTTCGGTTCCCTTCAAGTTGGCTTGGAAGAGAGAGCTCATCTGGGCATCGCCGGGACCGGTGGAATCGAGAATAGCGAAGTGCAGAGCAAACGAGAGCATGTAGATGAGGAAAGGAACGACGATGAGTCCCACGACACGAGCGGAAAAGTGAGCGGCGAGAACAGGCTATAATAACATGGTTGTAAGTAGGCAACTCAGTCAACAGGGCAGAGGAAACAGGGGGACTCCAAAAAGGAAGGACTCACAATCGGCATTCTCCTATCACCATACTTTGTCCAGAGATCCTCAATTGTGTAAAGACCGACTAGAGCAGTAACAAAGAGACCCACGAGCTTGACGCTGCAAACACATCCAATGCTCACACCAGTCATGAAGAGCCAGAAGAACCACTCGGGCTCGAAGCTGTTGCGTCGCTGATTGTGGAACTTGGCCCAACAAAGAGTGGTAGCAAAGGTTCCACAGAGCAACATGGAGTCGAGAAGAATGAAACGGCTGATTGTGGTGTAAGAGTTTTCGCAGAGAACCATCAGCGTAACGAGCCAGACGGCAGGCCGAGTCAGCTTGAGCTCCTTGGCGGTAAAGTAGGCCATGGGGATGCAGGCAATGCCAAAGGCGGCATTAAAGGCTCGCATAAAGGTGTAGTTGACATCTTCGGGGTATTTCTCGCCAGACTTGAATTCGAAGGATCCGTTGTAGCCGGCGAGGACTCCAGAGAGACCAACCAGCATCTTTCCGAGGGGAGGGTGGACGTCGAAGTAGTATTCATGCTTGATGTAGTAGCTGCCAAACTTGCCAAAGCTGTTGGAACGAACAATCAGCAAACCCGCTCCAATTCTAGCGTCAGAGAGACCAGGGTCCTTGTACATACTGAGCCTCATCCCAAGTGACGATATCGCTAATGCCAATTTTATACAATCGCGTGAAGATGGCAACGGCCGTGAAGATCAGCGGGGCAACGATGGACTCTATATCTGCAAACACTTCGAAGAAAGATTTCTCCTGCAACCGCTGTCAGTCAATCCCTGTTGCGCGCAATCGACTAGACTCATTGGCTCTGGATGCCGCTCTATTACCTTCTTCGCAAGCTTCTTCTTGTCATCTGGCTGAGATGCATTGAGCGAGGGCGCGCCTGGTGAGGCAACCTGTCGCTTTCTCAGGCCATCGCCCAGGTCAGCGCCAGAGGCGAGAGCGGCCTTTTCGGCAGCCATGGTTCTGGAGGACAACTTTCTGGTGTCGCCAGAAGTTGCAGGCAGAGGCAAAGAATCAATTGAGTTGATAGAAAAGAAATTTCAAAGCAGCGGGAAGAGAGAAGAATAGGGGAGGGTCACTCTCGGCCAGCTCCCAATGCGGCACAATTTGTAATGACTGGACGAGTTTAGGGACTCAAACGGCTATAACATCGACGACGGCGACGACGCGGCACCGTCGATTCGAAAAGGGAGAAAAGGAGGAAAGCAACAATCCTCAAGGCCAAGTCCGGCTCAGGGGAGAGAAACGAAGTGGAAATGACAAAGGAGGTGTTTCTGGCGGATATTGCTGCTTGCGTCGGATATTCCAAGAATACGACAGCTTCCTGATGCCCCCCTGGTTCAGCTAAGGAATATTGGCCACCTTGCAATCCCTCCAGCTAGTGCTCAGCCGCGTGGCTAGTGGCGTTCCTTGCTGCTGGCACTATTTGCGCGTAGTGCGTACCTAGTTGTAGCTCGCCCTCTTATTTTCGCTCCCGCATACCAGCCCACTACCTGCGGTCCAGGTACACCAGCGGCCACCAGCCACCAGCCATTAGCCACAGCTGAGGACAAGACTGAGCCACAGCGGGCGAGAAGACGCTGTATTTTACTTGTAGCAGGCCGGTCCCCTGTAGAAGGCAGTCTAAGTAGCTGCCGGATTGTTGGGCTGGAATTCCCTTTGTTGGCGCAAAATCACATGCAAGCGTCCCGCCACTAGACCTGCTTATGGCACTGACTGCGTCCAGACAGCTTTTTTCGTTGGTCCCGAGAATGATGAATACCGTGCTAGTCTGGAATCTAATCCCTGCCTTATGTCATCCTTGCGATCATCGCTGGCCATATCCTGCTATAATCTCGCCGACGCCTGGCCGGCCATCGCACGACTTCCCTTCAAGCCTTACCTGACTTCTGGCCTCCGGACGCCAAGCAGATGGAAACTCTCACCAGCTGAGCATGTCCGACTGACCTTGACGAATCCACTGTTGCTCCTCCCGTATCCTACTTTGTGTCTTTTTATCTCCTATAAATCACAGGCATCACCGCCTTTCCACGGCTGCCGGGCGTCTTATTGCATGAGCTAGGTAGTAGCCTCATCTTGCTCGTACTTAATCTTAGACATCCCCCCGTCCCTCAGCTGCGCCTCAGCAGCAGGCGCTGCGGTTGCGCCGACCAGGTCTCCCGATGCCTTCCCTTGTCTCCGAATTCATCATCAACCCTGTGCTGCGACAGGCCCGGCGCTTTTCTGAGATCTCCCGTGCAACGCCACCGGTAGCCGGACAGGAAGACACGCCCGTGGCCCAGGCGGATGCTGTCCACGATTCGGATGAAGCCGAGGATGTCGTGCAGCAAGGACCCAATCTCCCGCTTGAACGGCAGCGGTCACGGCCTCTGAGCACTTCCACCCAGGAAACAATTGTTGAGGAGGCCGCCGTTGAGCCGGTGACACCCAATGGACCGCTGCTCGATCATCTGGGCTTCCCCATAACGCCGCCCAGAAATGCACCAGCCAAGAAGGGCGGGCCCATTCCGGAAGACGATGGCATGAGAGAGCTGCGGACCCGCATCCAGGAGATCAACTGCCGGGATATCTCATCTGGCGAAAAGGCAAGGCTCATTCACGATACCCTACTAGAGGGCTATCGTGCGTCCATGGCCACGGCCACGTCCTTGGGCAAAGGCGACTCGGACGATGGATCAATTGGCCATGTATGGGAGCCGGCCAGCCCGACCGGGCCTCTCGAAGCCTTCAAGTACTGGCAAAATCAGGTGATGGGCGAGCCATCAGTTAAAGAGACGTTTGTCTTGAGCGAAAGTGACATCGCCCCAACATATGCCCCTATCCGGCACTCAAGAACACCAAGCGTAACAACACCAACGCACTCGGCTGCTTCGCTTACTGAAACTCGAGGTCCACTGGGATGTGAGCACTACGAGCGGAACGTGAAGCTGCAGTGTTCCACCTGCAAAAAGTGGTATACTTGTCGGTTCTGCCACGATGCGAACGAGGATCACACGCTGATCCGCAAGGACACAAAGAACATGCTCTGCATGCTTTGTGCCACACCTCAGAAAGCATCTGATGTATGCAACAACTGCGGTGAGGTGACGGCCCAGTATTACTGCAATATTTGTAAGCTTTGGGAAAACCGCCCCAACAAGCCCATCTATCACTGCAATGACTGTGGAATATGTCGCCGAGGTATGGGACTTGGGAAGGATTTCTTCCACTGTAAGGTGAGTTTACTCTTTGAGATCATTTTCATAAGATGCGGTTGTTAAACAGCTTTACTAGACGTGCCGGGCGTGCATCACTACATCGATTGAGAGCTCGCACAAATGTATCGAGCGATCGACTGACTGTAATTGCCCGATTTGCGGAGAATACATGTTTACGTCACCGAAACGGGTAGTGTTCATGGTATGCGGCCATAGTATACATAAAAAGTGCTATGAGCAGCACTTGAGATCGTCGTACAAATGCCCGCTTTGCAGCAAAAGCCTCGTCAACATGGAAACGCAGTTCCGCAACTTGGAGCTTGCCATTATGAGCCAGCCCATGCCACCAGAGTTTCAGGACACAAAAGCCAAGATTCTCTGTAACGATTGTTCTGCCAGAAGCACTGTGGCATACCATTGGTTGGGCCTCAAATGCTCAATTTGTCGGTCTTATAATACGGTAGAGCTGCAGATAATGGGCCGCAACCTCGAGGAGCTCCAGGCTGCTGCTGGTGACCAGCCTCCGATTGCAGAAGAAATCGACTCAGCAGAGGTCGTACCTGGAAATCGGCGAATCTCCATTACGACAGGCCCGCGACCAATCCCAGGCCGTAATAGACGGCGACATTCTTCCAATGCACCCGAGCCCCCGTCACGCATAATAGACAGATATGCGCGGTCGATGTCGCCTACACGCTTATTGATGGATATACCGCAGCCAGCCGTTTTAGAAATGGATGGAGAGTCCGACGATGATATCTTGGGCTTCTGGAGGAGCGGTGAAGATGCCGAGGACGATGAAGCTAGCGATGATGATGAATATGATTCCGAAGAATCCAGCGACGACGATGCTCCCGAGGCGGAAGATGACGAAGAGGATGACGACGAGGACGAAAACGGAATTAATTTGATTGGACACAGATGATGGACTGTCCGATGACCCGAGCCTTGAGCTCTTGACAATAACACAAAGAATGCCATTTGGTAACAACTATGACGACGTATGGAGAAGCAAGTAATCTGTATTCACAAGGGGCGTCTTTCTGGAGCGGAGTTTGGCGGTTGAATAAGTTTTGCTTCACGGGATACCACTTTCTTTTCTTTTCAAAATTTTCCTTGTATCACTTTCCTACTTGGATTTGCTTTTACCAAATCTCAACATGACAGCATGGCGTATTGAAAATGATGGGGTTTCATCGACGGTAAGAAGGGGTCGCTCATCCAAACATATCTATATATAAAAACGAGGGAGAAGCATTCTTTTGGAGTATCAAGTTTGAAAAACTGGGAATCAGGTCGTTTGTTCAACATTTATATACTAATAGTAGTTTCATCCCTCGGTGGTAATTTAGCCCTTTGTAAACACACGCCTTAAGCGCCATGAATAATGGTTGATAGAATCCCAGCTCAAAACCAAGTAGTCCTCATTACATTTCATAAGAAAAGAAAAGCCGCAAAGAAATATCAAACAGTGCGCGAAACATTGAGAATAGAAATCATTTGAGAAAGCGCGATTAATGTTGATTTCACCGACGACTATTAGCTACAGCGGCCTCTTGCTGTTCGCGCCTCGTCTCGTCGGCAATCTCACGCAGCTCCTTGATGACTTGCTATAAGGGGCGTCAGCAAAAACGATACGGACATGTATACAGATACCATGCGGGCACAACAAGAAAGAAAGAGGAGCGGCGGCTCAGGGGTACATACAACTAGTGATTCGGGATGAACGCCCTGTTCAATCAATGAGATGCACGTCGACAGCATGCGACGATCCATGTGGCAGTTCTAGAGCGAAAACAAGGTCAGTATGAGATTTGGGGAACGATGATGAGAATGGATGGACGTACCAGCATGGCGGCAATCTCCTCGAGAATGTCGACGGCTTGGGACGCCGCGGCGTGTTTGTCTGGCTTATCGGGCTTGGGCATGGCGAGGTTTTGATTTAGATGGCGGTGGTTGAGAGTTTGAGAGAGAGGCCTGGAGTTTGTTTGGATGCTTGCGAGGTGCCTATGGATAGATGGATAGTGGGGCTAGACGCGCTGATGGCAGGCGGCTTTAGCGGTGTTGGTGCGAGTAGCTGGTGATTGTCAAGGGGGGAATATACCAACAGCAAGATAAATACTATTTGATGGACTATATTGTTAAACTGGAGCCGGATTCATTGATGCTCTTGGAAGGATTGAAGACTTTTTGAGTACTGATTATACATTTTGAACGTATATTTTGGTTCTTTGCGTTGCATCATTTGCGGACATCATAAGAGTTGAGACATCTGTTACATATCGACAACTTTTATGCAGCTCATTATCTGCGGGTATCTGGCATATACTATAGCATCATCATCATTAAGCAAAAGACAATCAAAATCCTCTTCTTTCAAGACTTGATCGCCTCCACAAACAGCTCCCGCATCCCCTTCAGCAGCACCACCAGCTCTCTCGTCTCATTCACCCTGTCCAGCACCCTCTCCACGCTCTCCCGCTCCAGCTTCGGCCGGCAGTGTTTCACATCGTAGTCCCTCGAGCTCGTCACCAGCTCAAACCACGCCTCGCGCTCCCAATTCTTCTCGTCAATGTGCGTGTACACAAACTTGAGCCTGTCGTCCTTTCCCGCGCCCTCGATCCGCATGCACAGCGTGGAGATCCAAAAGTCCAGCTCGGGGACGTTGTATCGCGACTGTGCCTCCTTTTGCTTGTTATACGCGCGCTGGGCGGCGATGCGGGTTTCGATCTCGGCTTGCGTCTCGGCGATCTGGGCTTTGAGCTGGTCTCTGGTGGCGATGTGGCTGTCGCGCTGGGCGGCCAGTGATGAGATGGCCATTTCCATTTCGCGCTTCTCGGCCTCTTCTTTCTCGATTGTCTGTTGGTAGGTAGACATCTTGACTTGGGCGATTTCGATATCCTTTCTCTTCATTCGCTCGTCCTCTGCAGGCGGTGGTAATCAGTATCTATATAGTGGCATTTTCTTGAATCCCAGCACCCCGCAGCTTTCCAGCAGCGCATACCTTGAAGCTCGGCCATGTTGACGCGGAACTGATTGCGTTCTTCCAGAACACGCTTGCGCCCTTGTTCAATGAATGCATCGAATTTGGCTGTAAACTTGGCCATGCGCTCGCGCAAATCGTCGAAGCCAAAGTCGATGCTGGGCAGCGTGTCGGCGACGGAGGGGCCAGCAGGCGTGATTGTCTGGCGGCCGGGGCCGATTGACGTTGACGGATCGAAGGCGTTTGACATGGTAAATGCTGTGTTATCTTCCTCAATTGCTTTCGTAGACGCAGATTATTGTCCAAGACTCAGGTGTCGAGCCAAAGCAAAAAAAAAAAAAAAAAAAGCCAAGTCGCTGATGCTCGTTACAATCGTCCAAGTCTGCCGCTCGTGTTTACCAAGAAAAGAACGTTGCTGGGTCGACTATGGCGTAAAACGCGATCACGTGACTCACCTAAGAACTTCATTGCCATCAGATCATTACAATTATCGCAAGCTTGAAATGGTCTGTATTGAAGCAAGAAATTTTTGGCTAATTGAAATGAGGAGATTGTTAATGCACGACCTATTATAATACCAAACCGAATCATTCCCATTGCCCCATTTATGTAACCCCGAATGGAAACCCGGCCATCTCTGGTTAACTTGAGATGACGGAGAAAAATTGTCACTCTTTTTTCACACTCAGTACATTTGCTGAATCATAATGGCTGACTGGTGGCCTGATCCTCTTATGGGCCTGGGTACTCCGGGGATATTGAAATATATTCCGAGCGAGCATCCTGGAGAGACGCTGGGGATACTTGAGACATCCCGGATCACTTCAAAGTGTAAGTGAAGAGATGAGGAGTAAACTGGTGATCAATTGTCGGCTAAAACAAGTACTGACATTCATGTGCAGCTCCTCATTTCAAGATTATTGGCCCGTCGGTCAAGACTTATGCAGCTTCAAGAACTCAGCTTCCCGAAGCATCCACGAGGCTCTGGCGAGAGCGCCAAGTCCAAGAGCGATGGCTGTCCAAGTCTCGTCCAGAGATCGCCATGGGCAACACTGCCTTTCAAGATATTCTCAGAGGAGACATGGAAGAGCTGAGCATTTCAAACGAAGCCCCTAATACTAGGCCTTTGCTAGCTATTGGGCATTCTCCTGATCCTAGCGACAAATCTGGAGCCAAAAAAATCCCGATAATGGCCGTCGCCTCTGGAGAAGCAGGCGAGGTCCTACGGCTTGCTCGCATGGAAGATGCACAGTGGCAGTGGGGGGACAATGGAGATGCGTTTTTAAACGCTGCCATCATCGATTCAACCGACAAAGCGGCAGAAGCAACTTGGGCTGACGATGGATTACCCATTCGACAGGTCATATTCGCCGGGAGCCGCTTGCAGGATGAGACGAATCGTTGGCTATTAATTCAAAAGGAAACAAAGACAACGATACTCTGGCCAGAATTTCGTGAAGTTCCAACAGCTTCGACTCAATCAGTTAGTGATTTCGCACAAGAACGACCATCGCTGATCATTCCGCATCCCTTATTCACGATTCATTCTCACCAGACGGGAGGGAGTGCTCATTCTGACGTTGCTTTGATTCCAACGGTATCCGGCCGATCACAACAAATTGCCATCATTGACGAGACCGGATATTGGAGCATCTGGGATCTTCCCGCAGCTTGGCAGAGCCAGCGAAAAGGGCCATCTCAGCTATCTCTCACCAAATGTGGACACATTTCTGATGGCCTATTAAATGAGCTACCATCTACATCATCCCACCCAAACGAAAGACACGGCATACTTATTGTGGAAGGCAAGGGTAACCAGAAAAGGGACAGTTCGCCTTCCCCATCATATCACGACAGGGGCAACTCTACTACGCAATATATGCTAATGTGGAATCATGAAAAAGTGGAAGTCTTGAATCTAGATGCAAACATATTGCTTCCAAGATTGGGGCGCATTATACGAGACAGAGGGAAGTTGGATTGGATTTTGGATGTTCACCGAAGCCCCATTAAACAAGATCACGTCTTCATTCTTACACAGTATCATATTACCTGGGTTGATTTGCTTAGCCGCGATGAATCGGCATCAGGCCCTTTGAAGCCGTCCATCTTGCTGTCTTGCCCACACTTGGGAACTAAAAATGACGATTCAAGAATGTTTGTTTGCCGAGCATCAGATGATGATGAAGATACATCGCTTGTCTTTATCTATTATCCGCGAATGGGCCAGCTTTGTATATACTGGTTCACCTTTTCGCCTGTGAGCAGAATGCCACAATGGCATCGTGACATTATTTCGCTCCCGGGAAGCGAACACAGAGAGTTTCCTGCAAAGAATTTGATGGAATTCCTAAGAGTTGATCCAGTTCAACTTGCAGTCTCAGTCAGGGAAGGCGCTTCGAGTCCAGGGATAGACTATTACCAAAGAGGAGTCAGGTTCTACCAGTTATCTTTTCTAGGCAAAGATCTCAGCCTGCAGCGTTGCTTATGTGTTACCTCTGACGATCGGGCGCTTGACATTCAAGCGCCCACATCGCCAGTGGCCTGGGCTGACGTTAGGCGGCAGAAGCAAAAGGGGAAGAGAAGAAGAACGGCTATGGCTCACGTTACTAGCTCTTTTGTACTCCCAGATGAGACAACTGCCGAGGAGGTTGAAGCTCTGCTAAATGGAGAAGGGGATGAAGATGTGAGCGGTAAAGATGATCCTGGGAGCATCTCCGCAGTCCCACGGCCGATTTATGCCAAAATGGGCAGCATATATCAGGCCCTGCAAAGTTCACTCCAGGTATCGACAAGTCAAGGAGAAAGCGGCCTCCCCTCCCATCTTTTTGACGCTCTCAGACAGTGTCTCAATGATGGTTTCGATCAGGGGAGGCTCCCTTTGAAGACTTGGTAAGTGGCCATTCCACGATTCGCTCAGCATCCCAATTAATAATGATAACCTCAGGAATGAAGTAATCGATGTTATGCTACGGCATCCAACATATGAAGCAGCCGATGATGCCATGAGAGAGGAGATGGAGAGCTTGCTTGATGAAAATGACGAAAATATTGTCATCACGCAGCTAAGGAGATACAACACTGGAGAAGATTCCATGTCTCTAGTCAGCCTGCAGTATTTACAGCGATATTTGACTGAAGTATGGCTTAATCCGGTGAGAGGCGCCATGACTGAGGATATGCAACGAGTTCGACGAATCTGGGTCACTGAGTTGGCCAGGGAAGCCTTCTTGTCCAACTACGGTATCATGTTTCAGAACATACCAGTACTTGGTCCTGCCAGTTCAGAGGTGGCGGAAGAGGAAAGTCGTGAATATAGGGCAAACTCTCTCACATTGAGCTCCCAAATCACAGCCCCATCTAGATCTAGTTCTAGGGATTTTGGATCTTCGCCTGCTTCGTCGCCAGCTGCGTCAAGTGTTTCTCTCGATGCTGATGGAGCTATTCAACGACTTCGGCTACTAGCCCAATCTTTAGATGCCGATAAAGCGGATGCTTCCAAGCGATCCAAAATACTATCATACTGGCCGAAAGAGCGCGGTGTCGATCCGAACGACTACGTATCCAGTCTAGCCAGAGCAAACGAAGAGCTCTTCAGGGACGTGAAAGAAAGGCTCAAGAGGAAAGAAGCAAAGCGCAAAGCTCAAACAGAGAAATTCAAGCGGCCTGCTTTCATGAGACAGGGGCTGCCGGAAATCAATCCCATGGCGCCAGTACGGCCTCAACCCATGCAGATCATGTCCAGCCAGGCGGCTCCAGCTGCGACTCAGACACAGATGCCAGTGACGATGAGTCAGCCTATGCCTGGAACGTTTGGAGATAGGAAAAAGAAGAAGAAGAAGAAGATAATGGGATTTAGATGAGGGTTTCGGACATGTACCGTTCAGGATGGGTCCATATGCCGTAGTAGTAATTGCTTTCGCTTACTTGCGTCTATTGGGTTTGGGATTATTTGATGATTTTTATTGATACCCGTTACGACGATATTGGATAGACATGATTACTATGTAGAGTCAATTATGGATTTATGAGATAATAATAAATCTTTCTGCATGGGCATTTATCACACTTGTATTACAACTTGACAAGGTGGCGATGTTGGCCGTGAGGTAACACTTGCAGTCGCTTTTATTACCATTTGCGGGGCCGCTCTCGCTGTCTCAAATAGTCCATCTACACCATCAAATGCTAAAAAATCGTTGCATCTTCGCATCTCCATTCTCATCAATTTTATTGCAAAAAATAAAAAATACAGATTTTCAATTTCCAAATCTTTCTATTTCAGGTTTTCTTAGATTATACAGGTGCTCATTCAAACAATGTCTCACTGCCACGACGAGCATGACCACGGCCACGGCCACGATCACGGCGAGCACGACCACTCAGACGACATCACGCCGGCGCTGCAGTCCTCGCTATACGAGCAGATCAACTTTGACGAAATCACGACGCTCAACGAGGCGCGCAGAGACGCCGGCAAGGCCATTGTCAAGAAGACGTGGGCGGAGAGGCTGAGCCAGGACCCGGAGCTGGAGAGCGACGCTGATGAGCAGCTTCTCATGACGGTGCCGTAGGTCATGCCACTTTTCAAGTTGTTTTTATACGGATTCTCATTCATATACCGAAATATTGATCATTTATACTGATTTTTCTACAACAGATTCACTGCGCAAATCAAGCTGCACTCCATCCTCATCCGCACCTCACCCGCCCTCTCAGCCCCCAAGACCCTGCACCTCTACATCAACCGTGATGACATCGACTTCGCCGCCGCCGAGGAGTCCACGCCGGTGCAGGTCCTGGAGCTCTCGCAAACGTCGGAAATCCAAGAGATCCCCGTCAAGCGCTCTGCGTTTGGCAGCGTGCAGCGGCTGGTGCTGTTCTTCGTGGACAATTTCGGCGACGGCGACGAGGACGTGTCGCGGATTAGTTACCTGGGCTTCAAGGGCGAGTGGACGAGGCTGGGCAAGGCGCCGACGAATATCATCTATGAGGCGGCTGCGCAGCCGGGGGATCACAAGGTGAAGGGGACGAACGTGAATCAGATGGGGAGCGGGATTGGGGGGAGGGGGCCTGGAGTTTGAGATGATTTTGAGATGTGACGGTGGGGGACGAATGATGGAGATTATGGACAAGTAGACAAGAACAATCCTGAATGAATATCTCATACACTGTACTTCATGATCGCTCAATTCTAGATGTGATGGTCTTTATATGAACAAGAACGCATGAGACAGTACGTACCCCGCGAGGCTACCAAAAAACACCCCGCCCGCAGAATACCCGAACTGCAATTGCAGCACTAGCACCAAAACCTCCAAAATTTCCCATCAGCCCACTATCCAAAGTCGCAGCTCAAACCCTCCAGCCTCTAGCAGGGCATTCGCCAATTCACATAAAAAAATTAACACCACACAGAGGCTTCCCTCGCTCCAATGCCTCCCAGGATACCCATCCGAGTGGCGCTGCCACGCTTCGCCGCAATCAACTGCTCGCCCTCCCTCCTCCTCCCGCACATCCCCCAGCGCGGCATCAAATACGGCTGGTCGACCGCACCGCCGAGATCCAAGCACAAGCGCTTCAACCAGCCCAGCGCCGGCCTCCCCGCGCTGACGACCGGCCCGGCCGCCGCCCTGAAACGCCGCGAGAACACGACGCCGCTGCGCACGGGCGTGCTGGCCATCAAGAAGGGCATGACGAGCATCTTCCAGGGCAAGACGCGCGTGGTGTGCACTGTGCTGCAGATGGATCAGGTGCAGGTTATTGCGAACAAGACGCGAGAGAAGCACGGTTACTGGGCGGTGCAGATTGGCCTGGGGGCGAGGCAGGGGCGCAACGTAACAAGCCCGATGCTGGGATACTACGAGGCAAAGGGCATTGCGCCCAAGGCCGAGCTGGCAGAGTTCAAGGTCCGCGATCAGGAGGGGCTGCTTCCCGTGGGAGCGCAGTTGCTGCCAGACTGGTTCCAATTAGGGCAGCATGTCGATGTGCGAGCTCGATCGAGAGGAATGGGCTTCGCCGGTGGTATGAAGCGTCACGGATTCGCCGGCCAGGAAGCCTCGCACGGTAACTCGAAGAACCACCGAACAATCGGTTCAACAGGTCCCTCGCAGGGTGGCGGTAGCCGAGTCATCCCCGGCAAGAAGATGCCCGGCCGCATGGGCAACGAGTTCCGAACGGTGCAGAACCTAAAGGTGCTCAAGGTAGACAATGAGCTGGGCGTAGTGCTGGTCAGCGGGCCGATCCCCGGGCCAAAGGGCCGCATTGTGCGGCTGCAGGATTCGAAGAAGAGAAAGGCCCCTGCGCTGCCGTACCGAGTCAAGGCGCTGGAGCAACTGGATGAGAGACAGCCTGGCTTGCAGGAGAAGCTGGAGCAGGCGCGGTTGAGGCACTTGGAGATGCAGGCTCAGCGCCAGGCACATGTTGCGGAGGTGTAAAAGGGGGGTTTTATGACGAAAGTTATATACAGTGTAAAAATACCAAAGACAGGGCCGTTGGATGAAGACGGCGACAAGGGCTCTATGTTAATGAATACATACAAGGAAGAGACTGCCTAGACAGAGGGAAAAGGGTGAGGAAGTTCAGAAAAGCGGGCTTTTTTGTATTTATAGGAGTACATCATACATATCATGACAACCTCGTCCAAAAGGCTCATCAAGGCAAACCAAACCAAAAACAATATACTTGTACAAAAGAGAGCACGGTCTCTTCTCTCTTCTCTCTTTCCCTTTGAGATTTTCACTCCTTTCTCCATCAGTCCATTCATCAATTCTTTTCATCCCCTCATCCGTGTTGTTTCCATCCTCTCTCCAACCAGAGCTTCAGTCTCACCGGTTAAGCGCACCCTGCTGTCTAAACCCCTTCGTCTGCAACTCCGCCACATCCTCCTCCGACAACAGCCCCGAGTCCCCCTCACTCTCACCCCCGAGCAGCCCCCTAAACGGATCCTCGCCATCCAGCAAATCCACCACCGTGCCGTCCTCCAGCGTCAGGTTCCACACCGTCGTCTTGAACAGCGACTTGCTCGAGGGCCGGTGGCTCGCGAAGCGCATCACGCCCGAGGTCTTGGAGCCCTTTACGCTGAAGCTGACGTCGATGCGGCCCTTGACCTGGTTCATCTGGCCGCTGATCCAGGGGATCTGGTGCTTGAAGTAGATTTCGTCGCCGAGCAGGGCGTTGCCCTTGGGGGACGTGCGCAGCGCGTAGAGCGTCGAGGCGATGATGGGCGAGGATGTCTTTTGGTAGTTGAAGATTGCGACGGAGCTGACGGCCACGAGGAGGACGAAGATGGGAAAGGTGCGGCGCCAGCCGTTGGAGACTTCGCCGACGTCTGGAATTGCAATTGCGTTAGTTAAAACGTGCCGACTTTTTCTCTGTTCTCCTTGTTCTTTTGATTCTTCAAATTGAACAATCGCCATGTTCACTCACCAGGCAATTCACGATCAGCTCGTCTCGACATCAGCGGTCCATCGCCGGGCTTTGGCGCAGGCGTCGTCGTCGTAGTCACTGTTCGTCTCTGTGCCACCGCGCGCGAATTGGCGCTGCATCTGCTGCTGACCCGTCGAGAGGCCACGGCCAGCAACCTCCTCCTCGCAATTTGTGATATCATTGTCTCGGGGTTTGTGTTGTGAGTAGAGAGACAAAGCTTTCTGGTATTAGTGAGAGGTTTGGAGGGTCAGATCAGATCATGTCTGGCACCAGGCTGAAGGAATTTTAGTGGGGGGCGGGACAGCAAGGGTACGTACCTCTATTTGTGGCGTCATAAGGCTGAGGAAGATCCTCGATAGATGCCATCAAGGTGCCGCTGCCTTTGATAGCAAATTACTATAGTATAAAGTGCTCTTCGTATCCAATCAAGAATTGATAGCTTTTTCATTCATATGACAACTCAAACAGCCAATTGCTACGTAAATTTTCATGGCAGTGTACCTACCTCGTCTCCTTGCGTCTTAGAGCACGGCCTCAGCTCCATCTCAGTTCGACAAGATTGTGACAATGCTTAGGGAAGACATCGTTCTACCACTCAGCTCATCCAGATCAGATGAATCTTATTTCACCTAGATGGCCATTTAAGCAAATTCTACAGACCGATGATTTCTAATAGCACGCATTAATTGTCAAGAATCAACAAGCAGCAAGTGATTTCAGTCAATGTCCAAGCGCAATTCCAGCAACCTCAGCCAGTGAATCGACCGTATAATCAGGCTTCAAGCCCTCACAAGCGTTTCGATCCCCATATCCGTAGCGGCACCAAACAGACTTTGCTCCGATATTCGCCGCGAACTGGATATCCGCAACCGTGTCGCCAACAACCAGCACGTCACGACCGTCTTCAATGCCCTCAAACTCTTCAATACCATACTTTGCATCTCTCAACTTCGTCAGCAAAACATTGGTGAAGCTGGCTGTGTCTGGCTTCCGCGTCGCTCCAGGCGTCTTGTCCCCAACAATTAGCTCCTCGTCCACTGCGCCCCCCAGCCCATTGCCGTTCAGAGCGGTGACAACAGCAGCCACGCCCTTGTTACTGACGATGGAAATGACGACTCCGGATTCTAGAAGCTGCTGAAGAAGCTCAACGGCAGATGGGAAGGGCTTGATCAGAGGCTGGCCGTGCTGGGCGTACAGTTCGCGATACGTGGCAATCCAGCGTTCTTCGAGTTCCGCCGTCCATTGAGGCTTTTTCGCAGCTGCATTGTTTACAGGCTGAAGGGTGCGGAATGTGTCTTGTAGGCCTGCGCCGGAAGAGATGAGGCGGTGGATTTCAACCTCTGAGGGGGTGTCTTGCGGCGATGTGAGGAGGGTGTCGAATGTGAGCTTGATGCAGTGCGAGATGGAGGCGTGGGTGTCAAAGAGGGTGCCGTCAAAGTCGAAGATGACGAGCTTTTTCTTTGTGGACGCCATTGCTGCTTCAAACGTTTCTTCTATTCTTCTTTCTTTTTTTCCTTGCTCTCTCGGAGTTTAAGAAAAAGGAAGAGATTTGCTAGTTTGAAGGATCTAGCCGGTGCACTAGGTAGGTGTTATATCGCCGCAACATCGGTCAATTTCGTCGTATTCACACTGATAAAAAAGAGTCGTAACTAGTCTCAACTATAGAGTTCTTATTCAATAGAAATTAAGTTGAGTTTTTATTAAAAGGTCTGGCCTTTATTGCTTTTATTTACATGGACATGGAAGCTTGCTATAATGCCCGAAACTGTACTAGCAAGACTTTCACATGTAAATCACCGCCTTATAACGATCCCTTCTTTCAAGCACGTCTTTATCTCTTTCACAAAGCTTGAAATTCAAATAACACCTACATCAAATATCCTCTTATAGACAAAAATATACTCAAAATGGATGTTTTCATCGCAGTTAGTTCAAAACCATGCATTGCCTGTTTCCAGGAATAGAGATGCATCAAGATACCTACATGTAGGTCAGATTACCTAATCCAGCTAGCCAGGGCGATCCCTCAGCTTGCGTCATAAGGCTGAAGAAGCTTTTGAGCTCTTCTTCCTCAACGCCCATCAGGGTGCTGCTGCTATTGCCATTTCCAGCAGTGCAATCTACCACTAAAAAAAGGATTCTGTTTGACACATATTCACTTTCTATAATCTTCATTTTCTCCCTCTCACATTCATCATGGCATCCTCCGCCCGTCTAAGACGGACCTTTCAATACCCCAACGACTCCGATTCAGACTCTCCCGAAGCCATGGACGAGCAAGGTATAAGTCCACCCCTTCAAAAGCAAAAATGAAGACTAATCGAGTAAAAATAACAGAACAAGACTCCCTCATCCAAACCCTCGTCTCCCAAAACGCCTCCCAAAACGAACTCCTCGCCCGCACCCTCCTCGCCCTCCCGCTCCTCTCCCTCATCGCCTACGTCCGCCCGCTGCTCAACCCCGCCACCACTTCCTTTGCCATCTTCTGCACAACGTCCCTCCTCGCGACCGCCTTTCTGCTCTACCGCCTGCCGCCCGCGCAGACGGGCATTCCTGTAATCGACGCCTGGGCCAGCGGTACTGGTGGCGCTGGAGGAAGAAGAAGCGCTGGCGGATCGTCTGCTACGAGCAGCCTTGTCGGTGGACTGCGGTCGTCGCGTAACTCACTCGGTGGGCTTCTTGGTCGTGGGGGTATCGATACACGATCTCCCTTGGAAAAAACGTTGCCTTATTTGAACCTGGGTCTAGTCACTTTATTGATACTCATGGGATTGGTGAGGGGAGATGAGAGGGGCGGTGGGTTTGGCTGGGTCAGCATGGGCAATATTCCTGGTCTTGTCTATTCTGTCGTCCTGACGGCCAAGGTTGTCATGGCCGGCGTGGACCCTGAGAGAGATTTAGGGAGTCTCAGGTACGGGTATAAGGGTGCTTGATAAGACCTAATATCTAGCAACTATTCATATACATGTAAACTCTCAAATAATACATAATTCACCATGGACCACATCGTAACACCCTAGAAAGGATAGCAGCATCGTATTTCTCTCTCTTTCTCCAATTTATAGCGTCATCCTCATGCCCACTCAGGCACCCAATTTAACAGTTTACCGCACCTAGATTCGCCCCATCCCAGTATAAAATAAAAACCCTCGTGTCGTCTACATGTCTATAGAATCATTAAAGCGTAAAATACCATGGTCCCTCAGAATTCCGTCAATGCCCTTGGGCGGTCGAGGGAAAGGGTCCGCAAGAGGGTTTACTTCAGGGGTATCAGACGACTTGTCCATCACAAGGGCAAGTCCATGCGACTTGACGGCATCAACCAGCGCCGGCACCATGTCCTATTCAAAGAGTTAGTTTCATACTTGACGACGATTTTGATAACAGGGCGTAAGTGGTTTTCTTACCAGCAACCGAGAATAGCATATCAAACCCATAAAGTTATTCGTCTGCGCAATCCGCACCGCCTCCTTAATCGATGTTGTCCGCCTTCCGCTAGCTTCAACCGCCTTCTCGTCTCGGCCCAAGTCGTTGCACAAAAATACCGGGAAATTAGGCTGCTTCCAGTTGAGAGCAGTACAGAGTCGCGCGTTGTAGCTGCTAAATACCATGGAGCGCACCACGTGCGACGAATGAGACTGGGCCCTCTGAGCTCGAGCGTGGTCAAAGACAATCGTGAGAATCGAGTCAACAAATACATTAACATCCAGAGCCGGTCCCAACGCCAGTGTCTCCTCCTCCTCCGAGTTTGGATAAACAATCTGTAGATTGACGTGGATACCAGGAGGGAGAATAGCCAGGGCGTCCTTCAGGGTGATACCTGCAGTCGCCAGGATATGATAGATTTCGGCGATATCATCTGTTGTCTTCGTTGTCAGAGTCGCAAGCTTAGCTCGACTAGTACTCTGAGCCGTGATAGCGTCAAATTGTGCAAATGAAAGCCGGCAGACGGGGATGTCGAGTCCACCACAGGAGATGGTCCATTGTGGCCAGATGATGGGCACCGCATCGCTGGTATACTGAACAAATATTCGGACGTAATCGCCAGACAGACTTGAGCCAGTAACAACGGCGTTTGTTGGCTGGTTGAACTGACTTGTTGCCTTCCAATAGGTTTCAAAGTCCGTAATCTCGAGCGGCTGCCCTCTGAACGGCTTAATCACCTGCGTAGTGAAGCTGATTTGGCCAATAGCCCGCAATCGTGGGTCAAACAGTGGCAGGCAAGACTTCGAGTTGCCAGACTGGTTTAGGAATACAGATGGTAGCACAACCGTCTTTGCAATCGTCTTGGCGCCGTAAGCCGGGAAAACATCAAAATCGAGTGAAAAGGTCTCCAAGTTGTCGACCTGGAAAGAAACAACGCGGGTATCTTCTTGGAATGGCAAAATAATGTTCTTTGGGATAAGATCTGAGACTTTGGAAGATATCGTTAACCGAGCAGCCGGGTACTTGCCGTCCTGGAAGAAGACCAGCGGTTGCTCGCCCGCATCCTGGAAGCCAATTTGCACGACCGTCTTCGTATCAAGGAAGTTGTGGCCATATCGACGAAGAGGAATTATTGGCGGCGGTAGCTCGAGGATCGGTATGGCATCTGGATCCAACGACATGGGCAGGGGGCCACTACTGCTGTCCATGATGTCAATCTGAGGGTGGCCACCCAGGGGACTTGCTCTTGGGCGCTTATTATACGGCGTAAGTAGTTGCATACACTCCAAATGGCCTTCCCAAGCAGCATAATACATGGCGGGAAGATCCTTTTCGTCTCGTATTGTCGCATCGACACCCAGCTTAAGCAGTGCTTGGAGGCATTCGACGTTGCCTTCGCTCGCAGCATGCAGTAGCGGGGTCCATCCATAAAGCTTGTCGATTTGGTCGAGATCAGCTCCATACTGTTTTAAAAGTAGAAGTAAGTCTGACGTTCGTCCACATCGCGCCACCATGTGCTGAGGATACAGTCCCTCGGCATCAGGAAGAATCTGTGCGCCATGCTTCAACAGAATTTCCACAATTGCAACTGAGCCGTGCTCGCAAGCAAGATTCAAAGGCACATGATCCGCATCAGAAACTGGGTCAATGCGAGCGGACCTGGCGAGTAGACGCTCGACACATTCGACATGGCCATGTATGATGGCGTGTATTAGCGGCGTGAAGTTGTCGTGGTCAATGAGGTCAATGGTGCTTGGATTGGCTTTTTCAAAAGAGAGGAAAGGCAATGTTAGTTCGTGTATCCTGCCGGTGAAGAGGGCTTGGTGGCTCCAACTTACCATTCAACAAAACTTCGAGCATATCCAGCCGGCCGTGTAAGCTAGCATAATGCAGCGGAACACGACCGTAAACATCAGTCCGATCTACAGCAACCTTGGCGGCAAGACCCCATTCCAGTACGTGCTGTCTACCATAGATGGCGGCCTGGTGTAGGCAGTTTCTTTCGTTGATATCATCGTATGAATGCAAGTCGACCAAGCCGGTGTCCAGGAGGACTTGTAAAGCGCTCTTAGGAGCTTCGTTGATCGCCGTCAGAAACGTCCTTGTTAGCCGCTCCATCAAAGAAACGTCGCCGTCGCTTGCTTGAGTAGCCGATTGCATTTTGGCAAGAAGATCCTTAATCGATTCGAGATTTCCGGTAATGACAGTATCCAACAGGAGCGAGTCGGCATCTCCTTCGTCAGTCCCCACGAAATGCTGAGTTGTAACGACATGTGTGGTAGATGAGTCGAAGCTGACTTGAATTCCATCCGACCAAGCCCCAAGCTCCTGAAGGCTGGTAGTGGCCTGGTCGGACAGCTCACTAATGACCGTCGCATTGAAGAAAGGTTGGACCTCAACGGCACGCGAGAGGTACAGCTCCTTTGTCTTTGATTTCGAGGTCTTGTCCCATTTCTTGAGGATCTTTGAAAAAGCGGTGCCATTGATTTCAACAAATTGTTGGAGCTTGTTCAGATCCGTAGCAAACTGCTGGAAACCTTCTTCAAGTGTGGTGAATTTGGACGAGCGTCTCGAGATGCCTTGGCGCGACTTGATGACTTTTTTCTTGTCGAGCAAGGTTTTGAGTCGAATCTTGAGCTACGTGATGGTTGGCGACGGCATAATTCAAAACATGGGGCTGGGGCCAGAAATTTGATTTTGCCTACATACCTCGGCTTCTTTTTGCAGATAGAAAGCGTTCACCTTGTCCAACTCTCGTTCCTGCTCGGGTGTCAGCAAGTCCACCGGAATATTCATCTTGATGGCTGCATGCAGTGACCTACCAATTGGAAGAAGAAAGTTGCCTTGTTAGCTTGCAGAGCCGCCTGCGAGTCAGCCAGTGTGTCGAAGCGGTGGGCGTCATTTTGCGCAGCAAGGGTCGGAGTAGCTGAGAGCTTCTTGATGAGCTACAAGGCAGTGAGAATCTAGCATTAGTAAAAAGCTGATACAAGAATACAGCAAGTGGTGGTGTACACGTCCGCAAGGTATGCCCATGATTGGAGAAAGAGCCAGAGGGTGCAGACATGCATGGACAAGGATGCCTGGGGCAGCCGGCACTCCCCCTCTATCAGCCTCCCATATGTCCCGAGCGTCTTCAGACAGGAGAGAAAACACGGCATGAGAGCATATCATGAAACAGATATCTTAAAAGAGGGAAAGGCGGGAGAGAGTGAAGGGGCAGACGAATAGATATTTACCTTCTTCAAAGCCTTATAGTTGACAAAACTGGCAGCATATTCGGGAACCTCAAGCTGGCGCTTCTGAATCTGCTTGCCAAACTTCCTGCGATACAAATCGCTATGTGAGCCTGGGGTATTATTCCCGAGGGGGGCAGGGATTGCGTCACGACGCAGCGACCATCTGACTTACATATTGCGACACAGAACCCCCGGGCGGACGGGAGTCGCGGGGGCAGAGGAGTTAAGGAAGCAGAAAGACCCAAGCCGGACAGGTCAAGGGAGGATATACTGGCCGAGGCACAGACGGGCTATGCAGTCTCACGCCTGTAATAAGCCTTCCTTTTGGGAGGGAAGCCAAGAGTTGGTTGGTAAGATGTTATTGTGGGCGATGGCGCCTGTAAGAACGAGCAACCTGCTATGAAACTTAGCTGTCTGTGCGACCTTGACAAGCCTATATCGACGGAACAGGACGGAGGTGGCCGAGGGACAGGGTAAGGGGTCTAGTTCAGCGCAGAGTCTCCAGACACTTGTCCGCGTGGGGGGAACGATTGACTGATGGCCGTCGGCAGCTCGCTGACAGGACAGCCCAACGGGTCCCATCAGACAGCAAGCAAGCAGCAGGCTCCGGCGCGGCTCGTACCTTGAGAGGCCAGCCTTTGTCCCACTGAGGTTGCAGGCGGAGGTCGGTGCTCTGCTTCCGGGATAGTTTGAGATGCAGGCCTGGAGCCGAGAAGAGTAAGAAGGCCGGCATGAAGCAGGCCGAAGATGCGGGAAGAGAGGTGGACAAGAGCAAGTTTGCGGATAATGAGTGATGTACAGTATGTATGTACGCGCAGCCTTGGAGAGATGGGCTTTTCTGATGTGGTGCTAAATGTGGACGCAGGGAAAAGGCTGTTTGCTGGGGAGAGGAGCGCTTCTTACGTACACGAAGCAGAGCTACACTCCTCTGATTCTCTCACCCCGGACGAAGATTTTCAATCACGAGGGCGTGGCAGCAAGAGAGTTTAGTAGTCAGCCTACCGGATGAGGGCACCCTGGGCGCAGAATGGGCTGGTGATTCGGATTGATCAGATCAGACCAGCAGGGCCGAGGTGACGAGGCTGTCTGACGGTCTGCCTGTCTCTCTGGCTGGGCGTCTGGGTATCTCTGGTCGTCCTTGTTAGTCAGAATGTCCTGGCCCGACCCAATTGGAGAGGAGAGAGAGAGAGGGAGGTTGATGGCTTCGGTGAAGGGCAGAGTATGTCGACGACTGACTTGGCTAGCTGTGTCTTAGTCTCGAGGGCACGTTGTGCCTCGCCCCGGTGAAAATGCCACTTCTCTGCGGGATGGTGACCTTGTTCGAAGCGGGGGCGACTCATCAGAGCCCTCGACTGTCTAGATCATCGCGAGACTAGGCGAATAAAGCCCGTGGCGGTTGTACTTCAGACACCTTTAGCACGCCGAAGTAGGTCGTCCTGCAGAATCGACCAGGGTTGCGCATGCGGCGCTGAGACTTCTTGCGGGCCGTGGTACCGACTTGGCTGTCGGCAGATGCAGCCGGTGTTTAGCCTCCTAACAGACTCTTGCCCACTACAGCGTTGAAACCAGATAGCGCCCTAGTGCCGCCCTGCCTCGCATCCCAAAGCATTCCTTCCGGGGTCCTTTCATTGGGCTGCGTTTGTAGGGGTGTTTTGCCGGATCTGCTGCTACCATCGTCCCCGTTCTTTATACCGGACCCAATCGCCGTGCAGCATTGCACCTCGTGCGTGAGCGATAGGTGCAGTTGATTTAAGCGCAAATTCAAGAGTCCACGGCCCCAGCTCACTAGACGGCTGCTTTGATGTACCTCTGCCGCTCGACCTCCAAGTCAACCGTACAAGTACACGCACGGCACGAGTTGGAGGCACAAATACTTTGCGCAACCCAAAGTCCGGGCAACAACCAAACGCTACTAGTCATGCTATCCTGCGCTACGTTACTCATTGCACCGAGAGGCCGTCCAGGCAGCTGCTCATTAACCCGGATTTACCCATCAATTCATCGTCATGGGAACCCACGTGGAGAACACAGCCGACCCATCGGTGCAGTGCTACTACTAGCCGGCCAAAGAAGCCGCAGATTCAGCTCGCTAATCGTACTCAAGACGTCACGGCCCTGTATCCTAACTTTAACAAGTCTTATTACCTTGCTACCTACCAGGTAGGTATCTGATGGGTAGCATCTACTCTGAACAATGACATCCAAGAGCGCATGAACCATTCAAACCATTCAAAGTACTATTAGGGTATTGCCGTTTCTTATAATTTCAGCTACCATTTGGGAGTCGCCTCGATCAACAGCACAGATACACAATTTTGAAAAACAGAAACAGCCTCGCCATAGATTGCTTCCAAAGGCAATTTAATCCCATCCCGTTCCCTCTGCTTCAAGCAATCAGCTCTTCTTCGCGCTTGAGTCCCCTTCTTTCGCTGAATCGACCAGACTATCAGCCATCGCCTCGGCAGCAGCCTTTTTCAACCGCTCGGCATCGTCCAGCTTGCCATCTTTCGGCTTCTCCTTTGTCTCTCCCTCATCCTCGCTGTCCCCCAAGCTGAAAGGATCGTTATCAGTGATCGGATCTGGCTCCACGCTAGAGAGTGGCTGCCATTTGCTCGCCTTGGCCCCTGTTCCTGCCGGGGTCTCGCCCTTGGGAGACAGTTTTGGCGAAGCATCATACATCTTGATCTCTTCAGGTTCGTCCTTGAATCCCACTCTTCGGCCGTCTGCTCGCGGTGAATGTGAAGGAGGCGGTCTGTAAATGCCGGTATTGGCCATCGGTCGGATGTTGTGAGCAGGGGCTAGAAGAATATCGTCAGACATGCTTTAGTTACATTCAGGGCATCAAATACTTACTGCCGTCCGATGAAAACTTCATGCCAGCGAAATCATCGCTGAGCACCTGCGGATCTGCGTCATAGTCCGTGCTCCTGTTGCTTGGCCCACCGTGGCGATACTGAGGTCCATCGCTGCGGCCAGCATCCTCACTCTCGTCGAAATTCTCCTCAATCTTCTTCTTCATCATGGTAATCCAGCCGTTGACCTTGGACTGAGTCTCTACGAATCCTTGTCGGAGGTTCTCGCGGATGATGGGGAGGTCGTCATCTATAAAGCTGTGCTCTCGCTCCTCTCCGTCGAAGTCGGGCTGCGATCTTGTGCGCCCATTACCGCCACGGTTAGAAGTGCGAGCTTCGTAGGCACCGACGTTATCGTAGTGCTCTGCCAACTGGCGCGCATATAGCTCATCTGCTTCAATCTGGGATCGCGAAGGCCGAGGCGGCTGAGGCGGCGCAACATCTTGCGGCTCGTTCCGAACGGCGTCTGGGTCGGTCATTTCTAGTTTCATCGTAAGCATGCGTCCCCGTAGGAATGTTAGTCTTTGCGCGCAACGCACCTAGCAGAGCGTTGAAGGCGGGCTCGACCTGGCCTCCGCTTGCTCTCAAGATCGCCTTGATGACATTGTCATCAACTGATGGGAACGCCTCCTTCAGAGTGATTTGATTCTTTTGCGCCTCGGTCATGGGGCGCGGAGGCTTCGGTGGAGGGGCCGGGCCCTCTGAGCTTTGCCTTGAGCCAAGCATTGGTGATACGGTGCCGTCTCCTGTTATTCCGGATTCCTGCACCTCATCATCTGACATGTCAAGAGGTTGCGCAGTCGTTGGCGATTCAGCGCCTGAATCTGTCACTTTGCTCTGCGCAGTTGAACCGCAAGCATCAGCATCAGCGCAAGCTCTCTCGCCACTAACAAGCAGCCCGTCTGGGGTGGATCATATATACCGTATCTGCGGGAGCCGACATCGTCGCAGTCTTTTGCGGTTACCCTTGGCGCGCGCCGAGTGTTGCTGAGGCGATCGATTCTCGTGATTTCGCTTATAGCTAAGGTGATCTGGAAAATGATCTCGCTTCAGTCTCGGGCTCTCCGTTGCGATTATGACGGAGGGGTTGAAGGCTAGCCACGACGCCTGCCACGACGCTGATGACGTCCCCACAGAAATAAAGGAGCTCAGGGTGGCAGTGATGAGCGGGTACAGCCACAGCGCCACAGTGTGGCTGGGGATATTGCTAAAGGCTCTAGGGTAGATGGGTTGCCTACCTACAAGATTCAGGCAATGAAGAAATTGAAGCAATCGATCTTGGGACTAGGTTGTGAAAGAGCTGGAGATGAATTGATTCAAAGCTGCAGACGCATGTCCTTAAGTAATTCAGCCCTCTAAGCACTTCAACTAGCATAGCATTGTGATGCTATAGCTGAAACTGGCTTCAGACAGACGCCAATCTCACCAGCTAGCTGCGTAGTTGGCAGCAATTTTACCAAATGAGACCAACAAAAACATTTCACAATGACGGACCTCGATCTCGACTCGTCATTCATCCCCGCATTGCACAAGCCACCATCCTTGCTTCCCATAGCAAAATACCGCGACAGCTTGCTCTATGTCATTGAGACATTCCCGGTGACCATCGTCATAGGCCAGACCGGCTCTGGCAAAAGCACCCAGATCCCCCAGTTCCTTGAACGCGCTGGATGGTGCTCAGATGGAAAGCTCATTGGAATAACACAGGTGGGCGGTCGACTTCCTCATCTTATTAGAAGTGCTTTTTACTGATATTTTCACGTAAGCCACGCCGAGTGGCCGCCACAACGGTTGCCCTAAGAGTTGCCGAGGAGGTAGGGTGTGAAGTCGGCCAAGAGGTTGGATACTCGATCCGCTTTGAAGATGTCACCTCATCCTCCACCCGGATAAAGTTTCTGACCGATGCTCTACTTATCCGGGAAGCACTGACAGATCCTCTGCTGAGCCGATATTCTGTCATCATGGTAGACGAGGCTCACGAGCGATCCATCAGCACCGATATCTTGCTTGGCTTGCTGAAGAAGATTCGAAGGAAGCGCCCCGAGCTCCGCATTATCGTCAGCAGCGCAACGCTTCAGGCTGAGGAATTTCTCAAATTCTTCACAGCGGGCTCGGAACAGGAAGTAAGAAAGCAAGACGATGACCAAACGCCACAGGCGATTGCCACCATTGTTAGCCTCGAGGGACGAACATATCCCATCGATACGCTATATCTCGAGGCTCCGGCGGAAGACTATGTTGAAAAGGCCGTCAATACCGTCTTTGACATTCACACGCAAGAAGGCGAGGGAGATATCTTGGTCTTCTTGACGGGCCGCGAAGAGATTGACAATGCTATTCAAGCTGTAGCTGAGAGAGCCACGCAGCTGGATAGCCAGCATGGCCCATTACAGCCACTGCCGCTCTATGCCGGACTCTCGACAGAGCAGCAAATGTTTGTGTTTGATAAGACGCCTGAAGGAACACGAAAAGTAGTCTTCTCAACAAACATAGCCGAAGCCTCGGTCACGATTGATGGCATAGTTCATGTCATTGATTGTGGCTTCGTCAAGTTGCGGGCTTACAATCCCAAGACAGGCATAGAGACATTGACAACCACGCCCATCTCTAAAGCATCTGCTTCTCAACGTGCTGGCCGTGCTGGCCGTACCAAGGCTGGAAAATGCTATCGGCTCTATACTGAAGACGCCTACCAAGCGTTACCGGAAACGAACCCTCCAGAGATACAAAGGTCGAACCTGGCGTCAACTATCTTACAGTTGAAAGCTCTTGGTATCGATAATGTGGCTAGATTTGATTTCCTTTCCGCACCACCGTCAGAGCTCATGTCGAAGGCGCTCGAATTGTTGTACTCATTGGGAGCTTTGGATGAGTATGCAAAGCTAACACATCCACTTGGATCTCGCATGGCAGAACTGGCAGTCGAGCCGATGATGGCAAAGACATTACTATCAGCGCCGCAGTTCAACTGTCTAAGTGAAATCTTGACCATTGCTGCCATGACAAGCCTGGGAGGAAACATATGGTTCTACCACGACGGCGAGCGACACAAGATGGAGTCTTCACGGCGTAAGTTTGCTGTAGAAGAAGGCGATCATCTAACATTGCTCAACGTCTATCAGACTTTTATCACAAAGGGAAAGAAGGAGGCCAAGTTTTGCCATGAACACAACCTCAATTACAAGTCCCTGACTCGGGCAGTCAGTATCCGAGCTCAACTGAAGCGCTATCTCGAGCGCTTCAACATCAACGTTGATGAGACACTATCGTCCAAACAACACTCTTCGAACGTGGATAATGGCAATAAAGCAGAGCAAATTAGACGTTGCCTCACCTCTGGCTACTTTGCACATACAGCACGCATGCAGCCGGATGGAACTTATCGAAACGTCGAGGGCGGAACCATCCTACACGCACATCCTAATTCACTCATGTTCAATCGCAAAGCTGACTGGGTCATTTTCTATGAAATCATGGAGACGGGAGATAAGACGTATATCCGCGACATTACAAAGATTGAGAAGAACTGGTTGGTTGAATATGCTCCCGAGTTTTATAAGCTTTCCAACTCTCGAGGCTAGTTGCTCATTTACGGTTCATCAACGACTACGATTCAGGCTATTAGCACCAGACAATACTCGATACACACAAGAAGAGGGTATGGACGCATCATACAAATTGCGGCCACTCTAATATCTACCGTGTATATCGATTTGTGTCCAGAATACTCCGACTGGCTCCAGCTCTCTGCCGTAGTTGCCGTCTCTAGGATCTATTTACAGCTCCATGGATCGTTCTAGAATAGCCTGTTTATATCTGCCACCCAGATGGAAAACGATTGTTGCTAGCGAGATACACCTTTTGCTGTTAGGTCTTACATACCTTGGATACCATTATAATTGTGTCTGGAGCACTTGTACGGAGTACGTCGAGGGTGAATGGAAATAGCCGAAAGTGAATAGAAACCCACGTCTTTTGAAGCCTTGCTCCACGCCATCCAACATGCCCGTGCTGCTAACTGTTCTAAAGTTGGCTTATACGCTTCTTGAAAAAATAATTGCTGATCCGGGGCCACCCATGATCAATCTTTCATGCCGCTCTCGCCATTGATAGACTGATACAAATACTGCAGCAGTAAAATCTTGTTTGTTTGTCTTCTCTGATGACTACGACAGGTGCTCTTCTGCACCCCCTTGCGTGATAAGAAGGCATGAGCTAGGATCCTGGCCCCTCTCATGATACAGCACTTGCACCGCTACTAGTAGAAGTACTTGCATATATTGGGCTCACGGGACCAAAAATGCCTCGACTATCGAGTCCTCGAGCGTCAATAGACTGAAACATCTTTCAACGCTGCCAATAGTGATACCAACCAAAGTTTCTCTACATGGCAAGACAAAATTCGGTTGCTAGAGGAACTCTACACGCAACCTTCACCTAGCTGAAGCTGGTCTTGGTCTCACCCATGGCAAAGGGTGGCAAAGACAGAGATGAGACTTTCTTCAAGTCCCCCATGTCTTGCCAAGGGTCTTGAAAAAGCCGGCGGACGGCACAAGCTTTTCTTCTGTTCCGCAAAACATGTGCATGTCAAGACCCGTTTCTCCTGTTTCGTCTGAATTGTTCTGGCGACCTGTGGCATTAACGCGGCAAGGGAGCGAGACATGGAGATGGAACACGCAGAGCATGGCTAGGGCCATTGACTGGCCTGGTCCCCGGCTTAGCATCCGAGCGTGGTGCCTGGTATTGTTTATTACCAAAACCTGTATCGCAATACATGCATACTTGTACGCTAAATACTTGCTTTGTTGCTGCTGGAACTCGGCGTTGGAACTCCGTTTTTATTTTCCTGCTAATGCCATTAATTGGACTCCGCAGCCCTCATCCTGAGCGTCTCACCGGCAGGGCAGTGCTCCGGACCACGGTGGCCAGGGGGGATAATTCATATCGGAAAAGCGGCAGCCTCTACTAAAATCAGCCGGCAGCGGCCCGGATCTTCACAGCACTGCAGGAGTTGTAAGTAGTAGTATTGTGAGCGAATCGGCAATTTCGATAGTCCGTAGAAGACATGCTCTGTATCTATAATAAGATCGGCTGATTGCATTTTTATAGAACGATAAGATTGCACTCGACCAAGGGGTTTGCGGTGCAAGTGTTTGCGGGTGGATGCCTTTTTGAGGCGAGGATGGAGACTGCTGATGGAGCTCTTGTGAAGCTCCGCAGTTGCGCGAGACTGTGTGCATTGCGGTGGATATGCGTTTAATGAGGCTGCACGTATTCTGACGGCTCCTATTGGATGGATACCATGGTGTTGTAAGACGCTTGCTCAAAGAGGCACCTGGCCTGCGAGTGCTATCTAGACTATCAAGGCGAACTCGCTTCTCGAATGCGCCATTTCTTCCAGCAGCAAGCAATTCAATTCAGACCCAAGTTTGTGCGCACATTTTCGCTTGAATCCTATTCATTCATGAATCCAGACAGCACAGACGAAGCACGGACGTGTGGCGACAAATTTTGCGACGACAATGTGGCCGAGGCGTTGCTTGCGGCTTTCAGTGTTGCTTCATGGAGATGTTGTGTGCATTTCCATTGCCAAGCACTGAGGTACTAACGGCATGTACAAGTACAACGCACATTGCGTTGCATCAGATGCTTGCGGGAATATATTACCATGTGTATTAGTTGTTGCCTTGGCCATGCTGGTGTTGGATAGCGAACAATCGAACAATACGTAAGCTGGAGCCTCTCAAGGTCCAGGCGACGATGCCATCGTGGTACAGTGCTTG